AAAGGAGAAAAAAATGCTTATTCTGGGTAAAATAGTGGCAAAATTGAGCCAACCCCTGTTTTGAACATTTTGTACAAACCCATCTGCTGTACATTATTAACTCAGTGTTACCAATTTTAAATTTTCTGTAGGAAAGCTGGAGCTATTTCTAAACCTGACAAACATGTAGATCCATCTAAGTTATATTAGCAAAGAAAATATGGGCATTTTTAGACATTTTGAATCATTTTAGTAGTCATGAAAATATTAATTTCTACATCCAAATGGGGAGAATCTCAAGATTTTTTGTGAATATTCCTGATTTTTAGACAAAATTTGGTGAAATTTCAATACTGTTCACTTTATCTGTGCTTTCTGAGACTGAAAAAGCCAACATTGGGCATTAGAATATTTTACTTACTGTTAAAAATTCAATAAAAATTGAAAATTGAGAAATTTGCAGTAAAATCACAATTTTTCTTCAAAACTTTGATTTTTTTTTTTTTAATTAACTTTTTTTAGTTTTTCTGTAGCCAAACTATTTTATTCATATTTTCTGAGAATTTAATCTTCATATTTTCAAAACTAAGGCATATCAGTGACAGCCTTATCACACACAGACAGGACACAGATCACTAAAGATTTCCCCATTGACTCCAATGTTAATTCTCGTATCTTAGACCGGCTCTAACTTTTTCCAAAATTTTCGTTGGGTAGAACGCTTTCTACCACAGATGGAGCAACATGTGGCAACCACTTGCCCAAAAGCACGTATCTGTGTCTTTATGTGCCTGGATAATAAAGGACTACTTGTATTACAAGATGGTGAACTAAGAACTGGTCTTGTTATTTGTATTATCTAATCCAACACCATCCTCCAATGCACTGCACTTACCGATCCCAATATAATATTATGACCTCCACAAACTAAAAACGCAATTTTTCGTACAATCAGGGGGCATAATTCAGGAAGTTACGGTCCGAAATGCGCGAATATCGAAAGGAACCGAGGTCTTTGAGTTATAAACTTACATTTTAAGTTTCAACAAAATCGAATAAAAATTGTGACCTCTATAGGGTCCACAAGCTAAAAACGTGATTTTTCGTACAAACAGGGGCCATAATCCATGAAGTTTCGATACGATACATGTCAATATCGAAAGCAGCCGAGATCTTTTGGGGTAAACCTATATTTCAAGTTTCGTCAAAATCGGACAAGAATTGTGACCTGTAGAGAGTCCACAAACAAATTGTGGACGGACGGACGTCCAGGGGCGACAACAATAATTATACGTCCACATGAAAATGTGGGCGTATAAAAAAGCCAAGGGGCTTATGTCATTTGTGTGTATATAGGGTGTATATGTTCAGTTGCAAGTAGGCTATATGATATATGAACCCATGACTTACATACATAATTATAGCTGTTAGTGCGATTCGGTTTGTTATAACATAATTCCCATCCATGTCCATTGGCTTTTCGGGTAGAAATCGAGTGGAACCATGCTGGAAAATATCTCGACCAACACCAGACCTAATGGTTAGCCAGTGTCTTACTCAGTCAGCGCACGTATAGACAACCTGGCCACCCAAGACTCGGGTGACTATAGACCTAGCACTTTACTTACATACATGTCCAGGTTAATATATTTATTTTTCTGATTTTAATATCGTTAATGTAGAAATACATTTGATATATTCCCAAGAGTAGTGTATAATTGTGATTTTGTAATATTTCATGCCTTATCAGATATCCGTAATTATTGAAATCCAATCACCTAATTAAAGATACCTTATGGGAGATAAGATAAAGAGATGGCAGTTCTCGCTATAATACTTAAAAACTAGATAGTGTAAAGGTAATTTGCTGAAAATTTCAGTCAAATTGATCCACTATGAGCCGAGAAAGAAATTTTTGTATAGTCTCGGTCATCATTACTAAAATCATTAATATAAACAGCATAGTCTCGATTATCCAGCCAACATCGAAGGCTAGCCTTGACATCGAGAGTTTATTATGGTCTGGATAAGTTAATTAATGTCTAATTGATAATTTAGATAACATTTCAGGCCTAAAGAAAGACTTGTAATGAGCAGATTTTTTTCTTGCATAATGCATGTTTAAGAGTGGATGATTAATAATACACTCAGTCATGAACATGATGCGACCATGTATTTCCATGGACCTTTTGTTTCCATGGAAAAACAAAATTCATAATACGTGAAATGTACTGTTTATAAGATATGGCCCAAAACGCGGGGCGGGCGGACGGAACCCATTATGGTATCCCTTCCTTCGTTCCGCGTGGGACTATATAAGCAATTTACTGCATACCCGGCATCTCGATCCAGTTAACCTTTTTTTGTCTAGAATGTCACCCAGCACATTTAACTATAAACAAATAAACATACATTCAATTCCAATCTTTGGACAGGTCTGCATGCTATTTCAAACGATTAGCAAAACACATTTGCAAACTGACGATTATTATACACGCCTGACAAACTTACTCGTACACCATTTCATTCAACGGTAAAGACGAGCAGGACCAGCCTTTCGAGGCAGTTTCGGGGCAAGCGCAAATCTCTGGGCAAAGTTTACCCCATCGCACACGACATGGTGTATTCTCATCTTCATTAGCCTGTAGGTACCGTGGTGTATCTATAAGTAAGATGCTGGATTGTTAACCAGGGGATCTAAGGTTCGCTCCTTTGTGTTGTATCCCCTTGTGAGAAACAGCGTCTCACAGCCCACTGCATGGCTTATGTCTGCCTTGATGATCCCGGTTGGAGCAAAACTGTAGGCCGTTGATCCCCTATGGCTGAGCATTTTTTTTTAAATTCTTTTTTTTTAAAAATCCACTATATGAGAGAGAGAGAAATGGAGTTTAACGTCCACTCGACACAAACTAGGTCATTTCGGGACTAACACATGGTTCAATTTATTTCAATCATTCGCGTGTGCGTAGGGGTCTTTAGCAGTGTGTGGAAACCGGAGGACCCGGAGAAAACCCACGAGGTTGGACAAGCGACCCTACTCCTTGTCACGTACAACCGTGGAATCAAAACCCCACCAGTTGACTCAATGACAGACCGTATGATACAGCACGCGTTCTAACCATTCGGCCATCCAACTCCCCTCCACTATATGAAAACTACCCCAAGCTTCAAAAGTAACAAGAGCATCGCTACCGTTGCAATATACGTCCACATTCCTTGGGTTCGGGGCATGCATTAAAGTAAATAATTGCTGTCTTTACGGCATAAGGAATAAATACGCAAAGTTCAAAGAAGATCCATTTAGAATTGCAGTTTGTAGACGATAAACACAAAAGATTGGTGTGGCACGGCCCCTGAGGTTGGATATGGATCAATATAAATAGGTACAACCCTATGATGGATCATACCGAATTGGATCCAAATCTGTTAATAATTGCAACCTGTAAATTATTAACATGCGGATCATGCACCAAAATCAATAGTTGCCGTAGGGTATAAAGAATATGGCTTTTCTTAATTTAGAACCAAACTTTGAAAGTAAAGAATATTCAGAATTTCCATTGCTAACCTTTACCTGAAACAGTCAAATTTTGAATGGAAAGATAACTCCATAAAACGGGTTCAAAGTTCACCATCCAAAAATCGTGTGCCTCAATGAACAATCCAGCCAAGCTTTAGAACTTTGCTGTATCACATTCACGAGATTTCACTGATATTACTCTAATGTAAAGAAGTGAACATGGGGAATTACTGGTCCAAAACACATAATGTCAATACTTCATCTGTGAACGGTGCCCTTTACCGGGGACAAACTGTTTTTTCAGAGTTTAATTTTATGGTTCTGATTCCACTACATCCAGAAAGGCTGTTGTTCAGATGTCTGTGTTATCCCTGATAGTATAAGTCGTGTTTTGATTTATTGGGCACACATTCAGATGTTGAATAAAATTTGAGCCTGGTAAAAATATAAAATATGAACATAGAACATAAGAAATAAAAACGATTAGAAAAACAGACTGGACTTCATTTCTCTATGATTCCGAGTCACATTTAGTGATTAACCCAGCCATAATGTATGTAAATCATCCACTTACAGGTGCCGGTAGTGTAGTTAATATTTGGAGGTGTTATCAAGATAAATACGGTGGACGGGGCAGCGACAATAAAAGACCGACATTTGACACAAGAAGTGGATCACACTTTTTGTATTCTTTCAGAATATGAACAATTTTAATCAAACACTGACACACCAAAATGCGATAAACAATTAAAGTGCATGTACATTAGAAAAGTTACATTGCAGGAACTTGTTTCATAATGTGAACTTAGTGTGAACTAGTTTTAGAGTATAAAATTAATAACAATCATTATGGCATTATGTTAGCAATGCATAATATTTAAGTCATTGGTGCATTGTTTAACTTGAAAAAATATAGGTTACAGATCGAGTTCAAGTGTAGTGCCCTTTGTATGGATATAGATCTGCTACCGTGTACATATCATAACAGCCCATTTATTCATGTTTATGTCCGTTCTACAAAAAAAAGGTTAACAGGTTAAAGAGGGCTGTTGGAAATGGTTCGTTTATTAAAATTGGTAACTTGCAGATCCCACACATCTCTTTAACTTGAAGTTATTTAGTAGAATATAAACAGATCCTCCCCTTATTAGACCAACATTACATCAAAGGTATCAGACAGTGCTCTACAATCCAGGTTACCCTGATGCTATATTATAGAAGCCAATGAAATAAACGTGAGCATGCAACTGGGAGCATAGCCTCTCTATGAAACATAGTATTCATCCAAATTCGCACTGTAATTTTGGTACCAATTAGACTCGACATGCCCCCTCTCATTTAAGGACAGGATTGCTGGTGTTTAAACGTAATGGGGCTTTAAATTATAATGATTATTTACAAAAAAAATTCATCATTTTTATATAAACCTAATTTGCTGTGCTTGTTCCAGTTATAATGACACAATTGCTGGTGTTTAAACTTAAAGGAGCTTTAAGAGTAATTAATTAATGATTAATACTTATATTTTATGTACTGACATTTGCTGTGCTTGTTCCAAAGCTAAATTCCAAAAATAATCTGTAACAACATATACTGACCTTGTCATGTACAATGAAAGATATATATCAATTATTTTCATAATACATAAGTAAAAACATACTAATCTTTATGTTCTATTAATTTAGAATAAAAATAAATAATTATTAATTAATTTTCTCATAAATCAACATTATCCCATATTTTCATACACGGTCATTGGGACACAAATATCCACTAGCAGATCGTTTTCACACATTGTCCAAAGAATTTTTAGTTTTCCTTAATAATCCACCCTTTTCCATCCTCGGTGACTGAAAGATACATAGGTAAATCAGATTTTATCCTGAGGCATTACCACTTTATCAAGAAAATACTGTAATCAATTTTATAGACTCATCTAATTATACAAAAAGTATGATCGTGCTATGAACCAGGAACTGACCATGTTGATGGATGAAATTCAAAAATCCAATTCACCAAATCGAATTTTCATGTCAATCAGACTTGAATTGATGGGGCCTTAGGCTTTTTCGAAGAGCGCCATCCCAAGAACAAGAAGAACAAGATGAGTAGCGGTTAGCGACCAGTTTCTGGTCCAAATATGCAAGCATTTGTTCACTGAGTACAAAGCATTTTGCCCCATTGTCCACTGCAAGGATTTAACTAGTAAAGGATTTTTAAACATCTATATCTCAGTAATGAGTTGGCAGATATGACTCAAATTTTGAAACACAAGCTGACTTGAACATTTGTTGAGTGGAAAAATGATTTGGTAGTACATGTATTAGACTGCATTCTTAACTTGCATAGATTGACCTCGAGAATGTGAAAATAATAGTTATCTTATCATACTGTAATATTTGATCGGTGTCTATGTTTGACGCTTTACATTCGTCCCTTATTGTTGTGACCTGCCAATTCAAGCCAGCGAAAAGAGACTATTATTCTTAGCAATGATTCAATCATACTAGATTGTCCAAAAACAAAACAGAAGAGAAAACAACACTTACCAACTTTACCTTCTGCTTGGAGTTTTAGTAAATGCTGATCAACATTCTCTGCTGCTTTGCCATGTAACACCACTGGTACACCCTTTCATGGAAAAGAGAGAGAGGATTTGGGTTTAATCTTTATTGCAATAATTTTTTAGCAGTGGGAGGAAACTGGTAGGGTGGGGGGGGGGGGGCTGGAAAAAACCTGTGTGGTTAAACTGTAGGCAACCTTACTCATGTAAAAGCCAGGTATCAAAACTATGCCAAGTGACCAAAAGAGAGAAAGAGAAATGGCGTTTAACAGAAGACGTTGGATATGCGACACTACTCACGTACAACCGGGGAATCGAAACCACACCTGTTGACCCAATGGCAAACCATTAGTTATTTATATTAAGACCCTTTGTTACTGCTAGCTTATGCTGAATATGATTTTAGATTTTGTTCACAAGTTAGTAAGGATTGCTTCCCTTTAATCTTGAAGTTTTGATAAAGTCACCAATGTCAACATTGTATTTAGTCAGTTTTATAGTATGTTAATGTTATAAATTGACCATTGTTATGAATACATAGGGGGTGGGACATTGAACAGAATATGAAATTGGTTGCGTAACTTTTAGACACTTCAATAATTATACCTTTGACTGTAGTGATATTGTTAAACGAAACATAATCTACTGCGACTATCATACATTTGTTAGATTAGACAATTTGTACACTAAAGCTAATGAAGATGGAAACATGCCATGCAGTGTGCTATGACAGCACCACGGCATATTCTCTTTATTTTAATTTCACATGTCAGGATTTCTTTTACATGGAACCTAGTTTTATCGTTCCATCTGACATAGGGATAGGTGTTACAGGATGGAGGTCCTGGGGATAATGGTTGGCCTAGAACATTTGTACAAGCTTAGAATAATTATTGCATATATAAATATTTTGTATGCTTTTGATATCTTACCACATAAATCTTTTTGACTATATCCATCACTGTTCGTGGATCTCCTTTACTGCCTTGTAGATATTCAAGAACTTGTTTCTCCCGTGAAATACGATGGGCAATATAATCTGTTGTAGTCTTTACACCATCTTCTATCACGGGGCCGTGACCTGGATAAATTCTGACAGGTTTCAAATCTAAAATATCTTGTAACGATTTCATATACTCTATTAGGTTTTGAACTGTCTGAAATATAATCATAAGATAAAGTTTGGGGGAATTAAATTAAAAGAATCAAGAAAATGTAAATGAAAAAAATGATCCTCAGATGTACCGCTCTCTGATTATGTTTACTAAAGGTTGTCTGTATGTAAATCGGGTGGGGGGAACTGCTTAATTTTAATTTGTAACTTTAAGGCTGAGTGCGTAAAATAATATTTAGGGTTCTAGCATTACTGGTTTAATATGGGATATCAAGACAAGCAACTTAAAATTTCTCAAAATCTTTACATAGTTATGACTTTACACACTATTGAGAAACCGTGAAATTTTTTCGGCAATCATGTATATTAAGTAAGTCGATCAAAGCAGATAAATTTGTTAAACACAGTAGGTGTATAATACACTCTGTATAACTCTGTAAATAGGTTCATTATTTAATTACTAAGCTAATCCTGTCTATTATCAATAATAATCGAGATTAGTAATAGTTATACCATAAGTATAGTAAATATTTTTTGGAATTTTGAATATAATTCACCATATCTTTATGTCAGATTGTGCATATTCCCGGTCAGATATCTGCCAATCCATGTTGGACATACTGAAACAACATCCCTGTTTTTAGGTTATATAATGACTAATATGGCTGTGTTTTCAGAAGAGACAGATACTATAAAACTTACTGTTGAAGAACCATTTATAATAGTATCTCCTGAGAAAAGTGATTGTTCTTCTTCTAAATATAATATCATATGGTCATTGCTATGTCCTGGATTATACAATGCCCTGAAACATATTCGACAAACATTACACCGATTTGGGGCAAATCCTTATCAGACAGTAATATGCATGTTTAAAAAATAATCTAAGTCTAGACTTGGAAATAGGATGCCTCAGATTGCTATGCTGAATTTTCTGGAATTATGTTGTAGTGATAAAACTGGGAACGGAAACAATTGATGCACTGTGGTGACAAGGGGAACAATCCCATTCTACTTTACCCATGTTCTTTGTATTATAAGACAGTTCTTGAGACAGTTATCAGAACTTTCTGCCACCGATTATTCTCATCTCATACTGGTAAGCAAAATATACATAATATAATAAAAAGAAAACATAACTGCAAAATGTGTTTCAGTGCTTTATATTTTACCCTTACTATAGGAGGGGGGTTGGATGGCCGAATGGTTAGCATGTGCACGCTGTATCATAAGGCCTGTCATTGAGTCAACTGGCGTGGTTTCGAATACCCGGTTGTACGTGACAAGGTGTAGGGTCGCTTGTCCAACCTGGTGGGTTTTCTCCGGGTCCTCCGGTTTCCTCCCACTGCTAAAGACCCTTACGTGCAAGCGAGTTATTGAAATAAAATTAAACCATATGTTAGTCCCGAAATGACCTAGTTTGTGTCGAGTGGACGTTAAACCCCATTTATCTCTCTCTCTCTTACTATAGGAACATGTCTTAGGATTCAAACATTAGTTGATTATGTCCAGAATAGGAGGCATGTAGAATGGGGTCGTACTGTAGCTGATACAATTACTTATGCCAATTTCAACATTATAAATCTTGGAGTAGGAGAGATTTATTCTTTACAGGTTTTGCTCCTTGGAGATGCCGAATTGACAACAACATGAAAGATCTGCCAGTCCTAAAACTAGATGTGACTGAGGAAAATAGGGATGTAATCAAAGCTGAGGAAGTATATAGAGTTGGTGCATGCCTTGTCACACGAAATTATTGTGTTTACTAGTTGGACGCCTTAATACAGAATTCAAATACCAGATTCTTTAATGGGTTATCAACATGCAAAATACAATCATTGGTACTTCTATTTAAAGCCTACCTAAGAGTGGCGCCCTCTGTGTGGAAGGTATGATTATGTTCTATGAATGTATAATCTAAACCAATATTTACTTCATCTCCTACTGGCTTCTTCATCTTAGATACTTTAATTTCTTTACCTGAACAAAAACTCCACACATTAAGAAAATATAAAATAGAGAAAGATTCTTTACTGTATGACATGTATGAGAAAGGGGAGTTTGCTGGTTTAACGTGTGTGCTTCTATACTTGAGCAATATTCTGTTTGGAAATTGGGTTTTGAAAAATCTGCTAATTTTCAGGCATTCAAAATGACTGATGGGATGCATCTAGTTTCAGTCATTTTCCATAGCCCTTGGTCATAACCGGCATATACAGCTGAAATAGAACCCATTGTTAGATCAAAAGGTCTGTCAATGAGTCAAGTGGTGTAGTTTCGATTCCCTAGCTGCTTAAACCCTGCTTCGCTCTCTCTCTCTGGAAAGGGAAGAAATGAAATATGGACATGGAACATACCGTGTGATACCAGGGAAATTTTTCCTGAAGGTGGTACTACATAAGTATTACCAAATCAATACTTTATTTTACCCTTTTAGCACCTAATACATGTAAATATTGACTACTGCAGTTCCCTGAAAAAACAGAGATAGGTGATCTTTTTTACATTGTGTTTTGAAGTTTATTTTCGAAACTGCCCGAAGCTATTACTCCCTAGGCCTCCTCAATTTGACTGAGTCACTGAACAAATATCTGGTCCTTCAATAGTTCTACATATGACTTTGGCAATTTAAGGTGCTAGAGTGGCCTGTAATCTTATACACACTGTCATTTTGAGTGGTCCTGTTGCTAATGGGTTAACCTAATTCAAACAGTGAGGCTGATGTCCCCAACCTAAATACCAAAATAAATAGGTTACTTATCTTTTTATAAAGCATAACTACATGATCCAGCAATAAAATCGTTTATCACTCATGACTCTGCATAACTTAAGTACAAAATACTAATTATTGGAGTCAGTAATTGTGTAGCTAATGAAACTATACATCATGTTCCAAAGCATCAACAAATCAAATTGCTCGTCTTTGCTTATACTCATTACCAAACTTAATCAAGGTAGTATATATTGAAATTACATGTATAAACCAAGTTTGATCACAGTCTTGCATGAGTACTATATACCCAAAAATTCCAAAAATACAGAAAAAGAGCTTAAATCTGATAATCCCTAAATACTGAAAAATTAGCGACCCCATTGCAATTGGTTTCTGGGGCTTCAAGTGTGCTCATGTGAAATGAAACCAACGTTTGCATGTATAACAGTAAATGCAGTCCTGATCCCTTGTACAGTTTTTTTCTGCATGTAGGGAATGGCCATATACCAGGAGAAGACTGAAACTTTTATGATTGGGCGTGAAGGCCATGGAAAAAAACAATGTCACACAAAATGGCAGCCGATAGTCTGCAATAAATTATTTCTGTGCATTTTGCCTCAGATTGCAGCTAATATGATACAGATTTTCATGAAATAATGCTTACAACCTGCATTGGGATGTTTTTTCTCACTAGTTCATAAAGAAAATGCCGTGCTGAATGGTGTAAATGGGAGTTTTTGCCGTCCGTAGAAACCCTAACCCATGACCCACCTAGAGTGCGCCACAATCTTTATAGGTGGCCTAGCCTGACCCATGACCTACCTACAGTGTCCCACAAGTCTTATGTGTGACATAGCGTGATCCATGACCAACCTAGAATGTCCCACTATATTATACGAGACCTAGCGTGACCCATAATACCCACCTAGAGTGCGCCACAATCTTTATAGGTGGCCTAGCCTGACCCATGACCCACCTTACAATTTTTATGCATGGCCTAGGTTTTTTTTTAAGGTAATTAGTGTTGTTTTTTTTGCTATTTAATGATTTTTCGGTATTTAAGGTTTTTCAGATTTTTGGGGTAATTAACTGCCAAAAACAATTTTTCAGTATTTTTTAAGGGGTTTTTTTTTTTCTGTATTTTTCAGATTTTTGTCAGTATTTTCAGAATATAGTGCAGCCAATATGCAATTACTCACTATGTAGTAAATTTTGACATACATCAGGTATGGCACCAACATGATCAATATGAAAATGTGTAATGACTATCTCTTGTATACTTGTGGTATTTTCCTCTAGAGTGGATTTCAGTAATTTAATATATTCATCTTTCCCAGGATTGGTTGTGTCTATCAGTAATCTTCTGTTTTAAGAATAAAAAATGAAATTTAGTCATACAAGTAAACAGAGTTGGTGTAGTTCAAAATATCAGAAAAATATAAAGACATTTTAAAACTGGTACAGAAAAAAAAAAAAAATGTGAAAAAATGCTGCAAAAAAAATATAATTGATCATAAAGGGGCCAAACAATCTTTCATAGAAATAATGTTAAAATGTTTTATTTGGGGAAAACCTTAACTGAAATTACGACCCTTTCCTATCGTATTATCAAGCTGTACACACACACCACCTGTGTTTTCAAAATATTAATTGAGCAAGCTTGAAATGTAAGAAACAAAGTCCAACTAAATGGCGGGCTGTGGACTGTAACACTAATAGAAAAGCTAGATTGCCAGGCAATAAAAAATATGCCCACAGCAGCTAAAGTTGTTTGGGCATTCAACAAGTGTTGTTGCCTGTTTCCCCTCCCCCCCCCCCCCCCACTTACCTAAATATCATTTCATCATATAAAGTTATTTAAATTTGTGTGTTACCATATATTTATATCTCAATGGCCCCTGCCAAGTCGTTTTACAGCAGGGGACATATTTTTTAACAGCATGTTGTGTCTCTCAAACTGACTATTGCAAGGTAAGCAAGGTCTTATTTTCTCTCTAAAATGTTCCTTTACATTGTACAGGCGTTCACAGGGACTGACACGCGACTATTTAGCAGTAAAAAGCTGCCCAGTAAAATTGACTTGAGGTCAGAACTTTTTCGACAAGGATTCAATAGCGCGGTTTCTGAACGTACAGGGCGAGTGTAATGTCAATGCGACCTACCTGAACTACACTTAACATTATATTAACAGTGCTCTCGTGGGTTTTGGCAAATGCTCATTACAGTTAACAAATGACAACGACATACCTTTGTCCTGTGCCAACCAGATAAGAATTTGTGCCCTGTAATGTCATCGGACTTGGATTACAGCCCAAAATACGTAAAACACGAGAAGAGAGCCGTTCAATATTTAACATGACATTTGGTGCCGCCATTTTTACTATCACGTGATCAATGTTTACAATATTTTCATTCTTTGTTATCCAGCATTTCAGAGAAGAAACTTATATTCGTTTTGACAATCGAGGCTATTCTGTCTATTTTCTGGATTTTATTCTTACATGTACATTTCATAAGTTATATGAACGTATCAACCTAATCGAATACAAACAGTATCTAATCAAGTCCAACTTCCTAAATTATTACGGGCGATATTTCACGAGATGTCATTGTAGCCTTGATTAATTAGTTACTAAAATTACATCGATTTTCGCAATATAAATAATAGTTTAGATAATCGAGTCTATCGACCGACTTGAGAGCCAACTTCCGGGAACATGCTGTAAAGAAAAATGTTACAATATTTGTCTTGAAAATTACTATTATATCTGTAAATTAGAAAAGAGGGATTCAAAATGTCGAATCAAAGGTACGTTTGTTAATTAGACTGTGTATTTAGAATATAAAAATATGTGGCTAAGTGCGAAAAATTTCATTAACGAGCAGAAATTTCGCCTGGCTAAAATTGACACTCGCTAGACGAACTTTACGAACTACTTTATATTACAAGAAGTCATAAGAAGGAACACTTTCCTTCAGAGTTCAGTTTGAGCTAAAGATCCACATTTACACTGTCAGATGTCAATAATGATAAATCTTAGACTACAGCTAATTTTAATAACGAAATACCAGAAGCAGATAATCTGAAATATCTGACCCTTCCCAAGAAATGGTTCCTCGTCAGATGTCTTTCGTCTGGCCTCCAGCCACAGTAGTGGGTAGGGTAGTGGGTGATTCTAAGCTATTCCTTTGATTACAAAAAAAGTTACAGGCCTATGGCGTGTTTAATTTCAAATGAAGCTATTCCCATAATGTACTGCACATTGTGAAAAAATCCAGTGGCTGCCTAACCAGGAATAAGCGCACTGTGTCGCCTGTGGACGTGTTCAAATATCTATTTCCATATATGATGTCCATGCCCATAAAAAGAAATTAAAAAGCTAAATAGTAAACATATCCTTGTAAAGAATGTGATCGGTGAGCATGCTAGCTATGTGACGATATGTCTGGCAAGATTTCACCTGGGTAATGTCATAGCATCCTGAACATCATTAAAAACATCAATTTGAAAATGCTGTAAAGAAAAACTGTTTGGTAACTATTTTATTGACTTGCTCCTGTTCACTATTTATCCAGTACTACCCAATACTAAATTACCACATATACTAACAGGTACACATGTACCACATTATCAGATGAAAATAATTAGCTTTTCAACATATAATCAAAATTAGCTCTTGTAAAATTTACGTTCTCAGAGACTAGTCCAACCAGTCACAATTAGTGGATTTACAGCATGTGAGAGCAGTAGAGCAGTGGGGTACTTCATAGTACATGTACATTGTATTAAATCTGCATTAAAAGGGCCAAATCTTTTTAACTTTTCCTTAGCTAATGTCTGTCACAGGAGTTTAGATACGTGAATTTTGGATGTCTTTATAAGGAAAACTATTTTCATGTATTTGCAACCCATTTCTCAAAAAATTCTTATCCATTTATAATCTGATAATCTGGGTTAATGAAATATCAACATCAACATTACAACATAAGGATGTAAATACACTATTGAATTTGCCTTGTTTCTATCGATCTTGGTTCCTGGAATGCAGAGATGGTAAAAATTGGTAAACCAAAGTGCACATACATAGTAAAATTCACAAAAATTTCAGTGGAAAAGAGAGAACAATCCTGGTAATAAAAAAAAAAATGGATAGGATCTGATCCTAAATGTGTGGAATAATGAGATTTGGCTGTACATTTGTACTCATGAGTGTAGAGCTGTTTTTGGTATCAGTAGCACATTTGAGCATATCAGGATCAGCAAGTGTTATAATTCTTATTTGACATCGTTTCATATTCACAATTTTTGGTGGGAATTGTGTTTGAAATACTCATGTCTATCATTTCTGAAAGTCTTACTTAAATATTTCCAGTAATCAGGTTTTTATTCAGGTTAATGTGTTCGGAGAAAACATGTATTTTACACTTTGTTTTCACAAACAAAGGTAGGTGTATAGAACTTTCAGGGTTGGGGCTATTTATTTACTAAATGCCATGGAAACCAGGTGGGCAGAAAGGAATGTACATGTATATCAACCACTTCTATATACATGTACATGTACTGTACAGGTGCCAAAATATTAAATGGACTTTAGTCTTCTTGGCAATGGGCCTTCGATGCTTTTTTTGTGATGTTATTTGGCTACAATTAAGTGTACATTGTTCAAATATATGTACATGGTATGTAATGTTATAAAAAAATTGAATACCCCCAAGTTAAGTAATAACATGTATAAAACGGTTGCTGAATAAAACTGAGAACAAACCATACATGAATACAACACACATATATTTTTTTAGGATTACCCCATTACCTATTAACTACGTGTAGTCCCCAAGTCTCAAAATAATAATGATCTTAAAATTTGAATTTATTTTTGAGAAAATGTATATTTTGATACATAGTGCGTTGTCTACAGAATATTACACGTTATGTAAGTGTCAACAGTGATAGAGATGATTAAATTAATACCTATTTTATGAACAGAATTGAGTTGGTTGGTTTGTAACAAAAAGATTGTTACAGTAGTAGAGTGTATTCATTTATGTTAGTGTAACTAAAATGAAAGTAAAAAAAAAAAAAAAATTGTTAAAAAATCAATTTGAAATTGTGTATGGGTAAGATTTATATTTTGTTCTCTGATTTGATAACAATCAATTTTTTTCCTGTTCTGTTCAGTGTGAAGAAGTTAAGTGATGACTATTTATCTAAACAACCTGATGAAGTTTTTGACATCATGTGTAAAATTGGTCGAGGGTAAGACATGACTGTCAGTCTGCTGAGATTAATCGTAGTTTACACTCTTTTGTTTTGGAATCTTTAATTATTTATTTTGTGTTTTTAAATCTTGCCTGTCCTTGCCTTGAATGTTCAATGTTGCATTTTGCTTCTCTTTTGCTTGAGGTTTCATTCTAATTTATTCATTCATGAATCATGAGCATTAAGAGTAACATCCAATTTGCTTAGGGTATTAATCATTATCTTACAGTACATCTAAGTACTTTCATTTTCCTTTGAATTTCCCTTGTTCAGAATCTTTCTATGATAGAAAAAATTGTGTGAAAAACATGCAATAATGCTACACAGTACACACAACTAATCATAACCCGTGGACGTAAATGACTGCCCAAAAAGTGTGTCTATATTACTAAATGATCTTCTTTACAATAATTGAGAAAGTATTTAGTTAAAAGTTTAATTGACAGTTTGACAAAGGCTTGTGTACAGTATGTTCTGATCAAACTGTCAAAGGTGAGGAATGGCTTATTTTCTGCATCAGGGTTTTCAATATGACAATTTGTCAGTCAATGATGGACTACTCAGAAATTAACATCAATATAGATCTGTCTGTTTGTGTGACAGGAATAAGCACCTGGTGTTAGGGTTTAGTTTTTAGACTTAGTTAGTTTTTTTATTACATTGTCCGTCTGACAAAATTGTGATTTGAGAGCCCTGTAGTGCATGTCTAATTTTTGCTATTTAGTTGCATGCTTATCTTTTCTTTTTTGTTCGAATAGCTGTAGATTAAAGAGACTTAGTGAAGAAAGTTTGACACGACCCCCGGAAGAAGTTTTTGAAATCGTAGGCAAACTGGGAGAAGGGTAAGAATAAAAACTGAAAAATATTGGACTATTGTACCTGTATATTATTTTATAATTGCCTTATTTATAAGTATATTTATTTTAATGGTGTGAAGAAAAATATTTATTTGGAGAACTTATAATATTTTATAACCTTATTTATGAAATATTTATCTTTGTGGTGTAGCGTCTAGAAAAATAAAACTGGGGAAAAATAACATTATAATAATCTTTATGAGTACGAATAATTGTTTTAATGGTGTAAAGAATACTGGAAATATTTATTTGGAGAAGAAAAATAAAATATTGTAACCTTATTTTTGTTGTTTCCAGTTAATAATTTCAGTGCAAATAATAGTATTGTAATAACCCTTACATGTATGAGTAGGGTGTATTTATTTTAATGGTGTTAAGAAAAATAATATTTCATTGTCATATTTAAAAACATATTTGTTTAGGTTAAGGGTATGTATTATTATTTTTTTCTAAATGTAAAGTATAAAGCAAATGAGCATAAATGACTTTTTTTGTAAGCTGATTGAATAGATTTATTTTATTGGTGTAAAGCATTCTAATGGTAATATATAATAGTTTAATGGCAATATATGTAATAGTTTAAGTACTGTAATACCTTAATAAATGAATATACAATAGTACAGCGGCAATATATTATAGACAATGGCAATATATATTACAGAAATTGCAATATATCATACATAAATGGCAATATATAATATGTTAATGGCAATATGTTAATGGCAATGGCAATATATTATAAAAAATTATCATTATTTAAATAATTTTGGTAATAATACTAATAATAACTAAAAAACTTAATGTTTTAATCCTTGATTCCCAAATTCATTAAGGAACATGTTGAAAAAAATGTAACTTGATAGTCTCAAATCACAGATATAATTGTTTTCCATATGATGAAAGGGTGTTGGGTGGCCGAATGTAATTTACAATATATTGACATGTGTATCTGCGTAAAGTTTGCCTATTGATTTTATTTTCAGTTTTATTAGAAAATTTTCTTTTTTGTTTATTTATTACTTTTAATTATATATTTTGTACTTGTTGCTGGGCTTTTAGAATTAAGCATGAGGCTTATGCACGCTTGTTAAAGTCATGCTCTATATGTAACTGATGAAGAAGTAATACATGTATACATGTACACTATAGCCATATTCTACATGCAGCCTTTTTATTTTATGCCTCCATAATTCTGAGACACACCCAAAAAAGATTTGTCGATCTTTTGAAAAATTCAATGAATTCCAACTTTCCTGGGATCTTTTACGTGCACGCCAATGTGTACATGGGACCTTGTTTTTTTTATAATTCATTTTGACTGAATTTGATAAAGAAACAGTCTTCTGTTCATTCAAATTTTATTTAAAGGTAAATAGGTGAGCATTATAGTGAACAGTTAAGACACTAGTCACTGATTTTTGTCTTGTTGCTCATATTAGGGCCAGTTTAGGAAATGGTGTGTGATCAAACTATGATTGCAAAATGTTTTTTGAGCATGTCTAGAAGATGTGCTTGTAGAATGTGGCTGTATTTCATAACTTTAAATGCATGATATTTATTGTGCACTGGTTTTCTCTATGTATTTTTTTCATGAAATTTTGATATTAATATTAAAAATTAATTTTGTCATTTATCAAATATGATCAGTCAAAATCTTAATTTTGAAACAATAATTAAATGAAGAATATTATAATTAGGTTACCATTTAATTACATATTATTTTTTGAAATTTATTAAAATAATGTACACTGTATAATTTTCTATTAAAGATGCATTATGTAAGATTTAGATAAAGAGCTGGTTGTTCTTGATAGTAGTTTAAAAAAAGATACCGGTAATGAAAAATGAATATATTGAAAATTTTAGTCAAATTACTAGATTATGAGAGAAGTTATGACTGTTTAAGGAACAGTATAGTGTCGATTTTCATTGCTACTGTTGTTACGATAATAAGGGGGAGTGGATGGCTGAAGGGTTAGCGTACGCGCGCTGTATCATAAAGTCTGTCATTGAGTCGACTGGCGTGGTTTCGAATCCCCGGTTGTACGTGGCAAGGAGTAGGGTCGCCTGTCCAACCTCGTGGGTTTTCTCCAGGTCCTCCGGTTTCCTCCCACTGCTAAAGACCCCTAAGCGCAAACGAATTATTGAAATAAAATTAAAAACCATATGTTAGTCCCGAAATGACCTAGTTTGTGTCGAGTGGACGTTAAACTTCATTTCTCTCTCTCTCTCTCTGTTACGATAATAAAGTCTCAATTATCCATTTTTAGATTAATTTATTCAGTTGCAACCGTGTTTCAATCTGTTCAAAATCACAATCATCCTATGATCTAGTGAGTTGATTATGGTCCTTTCATGTGATTAAATTTTATTAATAATTTATATAACATTTGATACCAAAAGAAAGATCTACAATAGGCAGACTTAGCTCTTAATGAACATAATTCATTTTTAATAAAAATTTTACAATTAATTTTGTTAGTACCTAATTTTTCATGATATTGTTATTTCACCTAGGTCATATGGCAGTGTGTTCAAGGCACGATATAAAGAAGCAGATGAGTTTGATGAAGATCAGTATCTGGCCATTAAACAGGTTCCTGTTGATACAGATTTACAAGAAATTATCAAAGAAATATCCATAATGCAACAGTGTGATAGCCCCTTTATTGTTAAATATTATGGAAGTTATTTCAAAAACACAGATTTATGGGTAAGCTTATACTAATTTTATAGCTGCTAATTGTCATTTAGGTTGAGTATATCTATACCAAACTACAATATTGTGGGGGGGGGGGGGGTGGATGGCTGAATGGTTAGCGTGCGCGCGCTGTATCATAAAGTCTGTCATTGAGTCGACTGGCGTGGTTTCGAATCCCCGGTTGTACGTGACAAGGAGTAGGGTCGCCTGTCCAACCTCGTGGGTTTTCTCCGTTCATCAAGTATAATTTACATCACTGAAGTGAATAAGGTATGATGAATTGGATATTCGGTATGGTCTGCAGCCAATATAAACAGTCCAGCACCACCAATAAGTATTAGGTGAATTATTTGATGGGACAGTTTTTAATCTGATTGAATCCAAGCCGCAGGATAGTCTACAATTAATATGTTAAATAACCTAATCAATTCAACAACACTTTGGATTGGCTGAAAAAATGACCCCAAGTAATATAAATGATGTTCATTGGCTTAATTATTACATCTTGACTGATCACAATAGTTTGTCAATTTGAGAACTAAACTTTTCACGAGAGTATCCTGACTTTGAATCTCAGCATGGACCAAGATTGTTAAATGTTCACTTAATTCTTTATTGTATTTTTAGATTGTGATGGAATATTGTGGAGCTGGATCACTATCAGATATAATGAGACTTCGAAATAAAACGGTAAGTATCGGAACCGATAAACGACACACATGTAGTATTCCATAGGGGTCACACGTTGCATACAGATTTTACTATTCAAATATTTATTATTTGAATGCTATAAGAATATCGGTATTCGATTCAATTTAAATGATCATTTTATTTTGCATGTTTGGTTATTTTTGAATTCAAGTTGATTGCATTGATTAATATTACAGAATATAGACAAAAAACAAGATCAAATTCCATTACCTATAATTGACATAATTTACGAATGCCAGAAATCAGTTCAAAATCTTTAAAAATTTGTTTTAAGCGAATAATCGAATATTTGTGGGATTTCAAGTACATGTACTTCATGTATTATCACCTGATATTACTACAAGTAAATAATGCATGAATCAGTCCTGAGAAGTTCTAGTGAAATTTAGTTTTTTTCCACAAGCTTTTCAAACATCAAACAATTCTAGCCAGTTACAAACAGCTGGTTAAAAGCCTTGATTATACATTCTGTGACTGTCATTTGTAGTTGTCAATAGGTTGCATTCTATATAATTGAAATCATGTTTCTCTTTCCAATGTTATGGAGTTACTACGTGTAACTTTAAGCTGTTGATAGTCATTTGAGGGATTATGAATCTCTTACAAACTACAATATTGTGAGGTTGAATTTCTAAAAGGTATATCAGTGCAAAACTGGTTCATTTCCTTTCATTTGCAAAGATATGGTGAATGGAAACTTTCACAATATTTGGCATCCTCTGGAAAGATTTTACCCAATTTGTTGGAAATGAAATGAAATGGGGTTTAACGTCTTACTGTTCTGCTACAACTGGGCTAATTAAGACGGGCATACGGCATATATACATTGTGCTATGATGGAAATTTTGACCAGACAGCGGCGCCAATACCTGCTACATATCGAATTCCAACTGCCAAGGAGTCTTTACGTGCATGCCAATGTGTACACAGGACCTCGGTTTTTGGTCCCATCTGAACAACTAGACAGCTATACTTGTCGGGTCCTCTGTCCTGCACCACTGACAATGGAAAACCACTCCAGAAAAATCCTGACAAACTCTCTCGACCAACACCAGGAGCGAACCAGCAACCTCCAGGCTAGCGAGCCAGTGTCTTACCCGCTTAGCCACCATTGCTCTCAATTTGTTGGAGGTGCTGGCCTGTTTATATTGTCTGCCAAATTTCAATTCACCATATCGGCTTAAATACTGAACATTTTTGGAATGCTATTCATTTTAGAGTATCAATAATGTAGTTCGCAAAGGGTTCAAAATACTTCAAATGATAATCAGTGCCATTATTTAAAAAAAAAGAAAATTGAATATTGGCTGTTTTATGATTGCGTTATGATTTGATATTTCAGTTAAATGAGACAGAGATTGCAACTGTTTTATCGTACACATTAAAAGGTCTAGATTATCTTCACTCTAGACGTAAAATACACAGAGATATAAAAGCTGGCAATATATTACTTAATTCCGACGGTCACGCTAAATTAGCAGATTTTGGTGTAGCAGGACAGCTGACAGTAAGTATATTAGAGTTTTCACCCTGTATATTCAAATTGTTACTTTTAATGTGTATGCTGGACCCCGGTTTTAGTCCCATCTGAAGGACTATATGTTGTTTCTTGCCAGGACATCAGTTCTGCACCACTGGCAAGAGGGAACCACACTCGAAAATACTGATGAACTTTCACGGTCAAAACTGGGATCAAACACAAGACCTCCAGGTTAGCAAGTCAATGAGTCTATGCTGCTCCCCCAAGAAGAAGAAGGTTTTTTTTCCCAAGAATTCTTCTGATATACAGTACAGTTCAGATACATATGTCGTACATATCTATATAGATCTGTTACTGATTAAAATACGGAGGGGCTGACAAGGAAAGCTGTCTAGTCATTCGAATGGAACGAAAAACCGAGGTCCCGTGTACACATTGGCATGCACGTAAAAAATCCCTTGGCAGTTGGAATTCGATATAAGAGTAGGCCGTAGTGCTGCTGTCCTGGCAAAATTTCCCTCATAGCACACTGTATGGCGTATGCCCTTCTTCATTAGCCCAGTTCGGAGCAAAACAGTAGGATGTTAAACCCCATTTCATTTCATTTCTGATTAAAATGTTCGTCAAATTAGTGATTACAGTATTCTGCAAGGAGAAATTGGAACATATTTCCTATTTCATTAGATCTGTCAGAGACTGTCTTTACCTTCTTACAGATGTCAAAACATAACAGCTGTCTTATTACAGAATACTTAAAGATTTCTCAATGTTGGCAATGAATAAGACAAATTCAATCTAGAAATGTTATTTCAAAAGTTAGATAAAAAATTAATTTTGAATGCAAAAGTTAACCAAACATGATTTTTGTTGTTTAGGATACAATGGCAAAGAGAAATACTGTGATTGGAACTCCATATTGGATGGCACCAGAAGTTATTCAAGAAATTGGTTATGATTGTGTGGCTGATATCTGGAGTTTAGGTAAGTGACTAAAGAAATTAGTCGTTTTTCAAAGCAGAGATAAATTTTAATAATATTTTGTTTTTGGAAAGTCATTCACATTTTCTGATCCAAACATGTTGACCACTTTCAGAAAAGTCTTGTAGAAATTCTCAATATGTGTATTAATTTATGTGTTATAATAAACTGTGATATTACACCAAATTTTGAAATATTTGAACTGATAACAAATTTTTGAAAGTGAAGGAATGTGGTTGAATCAGATAAAGCATTTCTCTACTGACCAACAGACTAGCATCTGTGAGAGTTCAATCCTTGCTAAATTTTATGATTTCTTCTCCCTCAAACTGCTATTGAGCCCTGCATAAATAAGGATCAGTAAAATAGATCTCACCATTTCTTATTATAAAGCCATAATATCTTAGTTGAAGTGTGTTTAAGTAGTTGAAAATTTTTCTTGTAGGTATAACAGCATTAGAAATGGCTGAAGGGAAGCCACCTTATGGTGATATTCATCCAATGAGGGTAAATCTCTTAAATATCCTAGTGTTCACCGAGAAGAATCTTCTCACAATAGCTCTTTCAAATATATTTTCCATTATGTGTTTGTTTATTCTAGGTTGTTTTCTTTGACACAGTATTAGTAAATATTTTGAAGGAAGAGATTAATAACAGAACAAATTACATTAGATTTAAATGACATTGAATAAAGAATATTCAAAATTCACTTAGAGTAAGCCTTAAAAAAAAACTATTCATATTTGAATATTAGAATATTTTTGTTACATGTAATATATGTTGGTAGATTGGTTATACGTCTACAATAAAGTACATGTAGTGTTGAGTCTGCCTAAAGCAAAGTTTAAAGATGTTCTCATTATATTTTGTATATTGTAGGCAATATTTATGATTCCAACCAAACCACCTCCATCTTTCCGTAATCCTGACAAATGGTCTCCAGAGTTTATAGATTTTGTTAGTAAATGTTTGATCAAGAATCCAGAACAACGAGCTACAGCTAAAGAATTATTAGAGGTTGGATTGGGTTTTGACAATTTCGAAAACATTTTGTTCAAATGCATTGTGGTTATTGCCACAAGTCCAAGATGGCATTTGGGGCTATTTCTCAATCTGAACAGAACATCTACAGCTACTCCACATTCCATATGCCTCGGATAAAGATAATCCAACTTTTAAAAAGTTGATGTATGTTTCTGTCTGACCTTTTAAAAGATATTGTGCTTGATCAGTTGGTACCATTTAAAGTATCAAGTAACATTTTACCTGGGAAAGAATATGGTATATTTGTGTCATAGATTCATGTCAGCACATTGTATGTTGGCTATCAGACTTTGTATTGTCGACAGATTACAGATAGCATTTTTTGACAATAGTATATTGAGCATGGGAAGCACCTGCAGAGTATGCTATTATGACCCTAGCTCACTTACCAGGAGATCCCTCAGGATTTTCCAGTTTGGTTCCTGTTTGTCATCTATACAGGACTGAGGACCTGGCAAGTAAAACCATCTAGTTGTGACCTGTGTATACTACTGGTGGCATATTAAAGATCCCCTGGCAGTTGTAAATTAAAGTTGCAATTTCATATTTTTACGTTATATTTTTAAAATTTATTAAAATAAAGCCTTAAAATAGATGGTATCTATAAACAGTCCTACCTTGTTAAAGAATAATCCTATTAATCCTATAATTCACTATTGCCAGTTGAGAAATTGGCAAAAATATCATTTTCCTCTTCAAATTCAAACGTTTGAAAAAAGCTACTCCATGGTGGAGAATAGAAAACAAGGGAGGTAATTGGGAGGTAATTGTGTTATTATTTCCTGTGTAAATGAGTTTTAAGTGTGAGAATGACACCTGTGATCGTATAATAGTGAGTTGACAACCTATTGAGCAAAAGACATGGAAATAATTATGTTTTGACTTTCTTAGAAAATATGAAATTGTAACTTTAAAATAAGAGTAGGATGTATAACTGTTTTATTTTCTTTCCTGTGCCATGTAATATGGGTAGAGTCAGTAGTAAACTGTTGTGGAATGTTAGATAATTCTTATGTTTAAATAAATATATATATATTTACAGCATGAGTTTATAACACAATCAGAGTCATGTGCTGTTCTACAGAAAATGATAAAAGAAGCCCATGAAATACAGAAGAATAATAGTTTACATCATATGTCTAATGGAGATGATTCTGTAAGTATTAAACTATTTTTGTTTTTTCATCAAATTCTGTTCGAAGTCACTGATTGTCATTTGAGAGATTTTCAATCCCTTGCGAACTACCATATTGTGAAAGTTGAATTACTAAAAGGAATATCAGACCACTAATGGTTTCAATTCTGTTTGGTATTTATAAAAAAAAGTATGAATTGAAATATGAAAATGACATTCGTCAGTTTTAAGTCATTCCATATTCCCAATCATTTGGATCGCATCACTCCCATTTCCAGTTGAATCACATCACTCCCATTTCCAGCTGAATCTCATCACTCCCATTTCCAGTTGGATTGCATCACTCCCATTTCCAGTTGAATCACATCATCCCATTTCCAGTTGAATCACATCACTCCCATTTCCAATTGGATCACATCACTCCCATTTCCATTTGGATCACATCACTCCTAAATCCCAGGTCTAGTCACATCATATTAGTTTCATATCTAATCTAGTGAAAGTACATTCACTTGTGATTCATTAAAATACATATTGAACTTAATGGTTCTGGAAGCTAAGTAGAGTACAATGACATCTTTCACGCAAATAGTGTTTCAGAATGATATCATGTATAAGAAGCTGGGTGAGTTTGACAGAGAAAAATGTAATATGTGTGTTTAAGATGAACCTTTCTGTATACAACATAAAATAGACAATCACCTATGATCTGAAATCCCTTAAATAATTAATAATAAGATAAGTATGTAATAATGTAGAAGGTCATATTTGATAATATGTGTTATGTTTTTGTAGGATGATGATGTAGAGAATGATAGTGGTACAATGGTTAAAAATACAGATCATGTTGATGGTACAATGAAAGCTACAGACTCAGGTACAATAATATTAATATTCTCTATATGCTAGTAACAAATCAACACTGGCAAGAAATCTCCGCAAAAGTGTTTAAAAGCTAAAAGGCCATTGACAATAAAATTAGTCTAGGCAAAAAGCATATTGGTGTAAAAATTATTCAAATTGATCAGTCCTAATGAAAGTTATGAACATTTGTACAGCATGCTGGCATCTTTTCTTTTCTGAGATAACAGAACTTCAGCTGACGTCTTTTCTTTTCTGAGATAACAGAACTTCAGCTGACGTCTTAATGTGATCCATGACCATTCAGGCTAAAATGTCGCCTGGCCAATGTGTTTTGTATTAATATTTAAGGAACATTTTCTAGTCCTTATGTTTGTTAATTTTAAATAAGGAAACTTATTGATCTGTAACAAGAAATAGTACAGCGTGGTTACCCAGGAAATCAACAGGATTATTGTTGGTCCAAATATATCTGGGGTTAATGTTTTTGGAGGTGTTGAAGGGACGTGTAATTCAATGATTCTAGTGATCAAAAATCATGTTCATAGGTAGACTAGCAAACTATATGAATTTATTAACTGATTTGGATGGTAGATCAAAGCTTTATTATTGCAACATAAAGATAATTTTTCAATCATTATTGATGGAATTAATGCCCATGTAAAATTATGTTGTGTTCGTGTCTATAATGGGATAATATATCTTACTATATTTTTCTGTAGATACATTAAAGGATGGTACCGCAGGTAGTGTGATAGTCAATAGTGAAGCTAATACATTAAATTCCGAGTTTGGTACTATGGTGATAAATGAGGACCCTGAAGAAGATGATAGTACTATGAAACGTGAGTAGAACAGTTTTCATAAAAAGTATAAATTTAGAAGCAGATTATGAAGCAGAAATATCTTTATCAATAATTTCTGAATATCAAATACTTTAATTTTAAAATAGTAAAATAGCAATATTATTGTCAATCATTAAAGCTCAAATCATGTTCAATATTTGCATAATGTAATGGGGGGGGGGGGGGAGTTGGATGGCTGAATGGTTAGCATGTATGCACTGTATCATAAAGTCTGTCATTGTGTCAACTGGCTTGGTTTCGATTCCCTGGTTGTACGTGACAAGGAGTAGGGTCGCCTGTCCAACCTCGTGGGTTTGCTCCGGGTCCTTCGGTTTCCTCCCACTGCTAAAGACCCCTAAGCACAAGTGAATTATTGAAATAAAATTAAACCATGTTAGTCCCGAAATGACCTAGTTTGTGTCGAGTGGACGTTAAACCCCATTTCTCTCTCTCTCACATAATGTAACCTTAATAGTGTTGGGTATTGCAGTCACGATACGTACGTATTACCATTCAGGTGCTATGATATAGTTCATATCACGATCTATAACCAGGTTAATATTTACCAAGAAAATAACAGGATAAATGAATAATTGATAGTTTTAGTAGTAGTCCTGTCCATGGTTAAGAAATAAAACTTGTTTTATATCACCATATTGATGTGGATCAAAATAACGAGCAAAACAATTTAAGAGTGTTTGTGTACCTATGGATAATGTGTGACGTGGATAATTAAGAGAGTGACAGGTTACTTACTGAAGTGACAAAAAATCATAAAAAAAAAAGAATCGCAATTCAGTGTCTTGCTATTCAATACGCACATCGTAGAAGGTTAATCGCGATATATGTATTCAATGATATATCGTGCCAGGACTAAAACATAATATAATCTCCGAGTAAGAAATTTAACAAGATTCGTGTGATAGTAGAATGTTATTTTGACTGTTTTGATATGTAAGTGTATTTAGGGGGTTGGATGGTCGAATGGTTAGCATGTGCGCGCTGTAACATACAGCCTGTCATTGAGTCAACTGGTGTGGTATTCGATTCCCTGGTTGTACGTGATAAGGAGTATTGTCACTCGTCCAACCCCGGGTACTCCGGTTTCGTCCCACTGCTAGACCCCCATGTGCAACCGAATTATTGAAATAAAATTGAACCGTGTGTTAGTCCCGAAATGACTAGTTGGAAATAGAAATGGCGCTGCTGTGAAAGCCAAATTTTTCTCATTTACCTTCACAGCACCTACCTGGCTAGTTCCAAACAGTAAGAAATTCACCTCCCATTATATTTCCATTTAAATTTAATTTTTTTTTTTTAATAGGTCATGATACAAGTACAGCAGGAAAAGAAAAATACCGACCAGCATATCTCGATCATTTTGAAAAGGAGGAAAAAGAGAGAGCAAAAAATCAAAAGCCGTCAGAAACATCTACCCCAGCCGCCCCTGCTCAACAACCAGCCAAAACACAACCCAGCACTACGTCCACCTCATCACAACCTAAACAGATCACTCCACCCCACCACTTTCAGAGATGTCTCTATGATGGAGATTTTGAATTTGTAAGTACATGTAATATCATAAATAATCTTAAATTGGCTTTAATTATTGAAAATGGGAGCTTGGATCAATTCTGAAAGTTCCTCTGGATTGGTTTACCATTGTCAGTGGAGTGTCTGGTAAAGACAATTAAATAGGCCTTTATTTGAATCATGTTTTTCAGTTAAGGAATATGCCATATGAAGAATTAGAAGCGAGATTGGCCGACCTTGATCCAGAAATGGAAAGGGAGATCGAAGAGTTACGTTGTAGATATCAAGCCAAACGACAACCTATTCTAGAAGCTATTGACGCAAAGAAAAAGCGGCAACAGAATTTCTAGAAGACATTATTTTAATTTTTTATTCAAGTGGGAAAACTATCTATAAAATGTTTTTCCTATCTTGAAAATGTCATTCAGTCATAGTCTTGAAGCCTTGATTTTGAAACTTTTATAGGACAGCCATTTATGAGAATACTGACAGTATCTGAAATCTGATAGTTTTTACACACACATCAGTCGATGATATCCCTGTGTTGGTTTTTCAATAGTTAGTATACCACCTGCCACCATTTTCTGAATCTAACTGTTAAGATTCACATAACCAGTCACTAAAACTTAAATTATATAAACTGTCCAAATCTGGATGTATGAGACTACTATCCTAGATATCTCAGTAGTCATATTGTTACCAGATATAAATGACGTAGACTAACCTCAGAGTGTATGTTTTGTTTTTCTAGAATAGCAAAGGCAAAATTTTGAGGTACTATACTCCAGTTTTCACTTTTTAACCAACTGATGAAGGAGTTAAACCTCTTTGATTGAGGCCAAAGTAATGTATTGAATTGGGTTGATCAGATTTTGATACAGTAATGTGGGAAAGTCGGTGTGTTTTCTAGATTTTGTTTTATTTTTGACTTACGGTTTCGATTTAGGAACACATATCAGTTGTATCTCAACAATTGCTTAATTTGCTGGAATATCATCCCTCAAAACAAATCAACATAAAAATCCAGTAAAATCAGGAATTTTATTTTTCACCCAAATCAAAGAGGAAGTGTCAATTTTATTTTAGTTGAATGTGCATTACATATTATTTAAAAGACATTGAACTGGAAAGACATAAAATTATTTATTTATTTATTTTCTATTGCCTAAGCAGAAAATGATAAGGACATTTGATGTTATATTGGTTTAGGTTTTCTTAGTTATTTCTCTTTTTAGGTGCTGGATACTTATGCTGAAAAGACTTTTTTTTTCTTAATTAAAGTTTTAAGATAGTGCACTTGTTAATCATCTCTTTTTGCATAATTTCTAATTTGTCTTAATGTTGATTTTTTTATGCTTACATTTTTATTTGTCTCAGAAATTTAATTTTCTATGTATATTGAGTATGTGTATTGTAAGAATATTGCATTGAGTGTGGACAAAAGATTTTCTGGTATTATAGAATAAAATGAAAAGCTCTTTTTCTTAAAATTGAATAAAAATACATTTCGTTTCAGTTTAAAATTTGGGTCCTCAATAAAAAGGATATGACTTAATATATTGGTCAAACTATCCCGACATTGCTTCAGGAAGGGTTTTACACTAATGTGATAAACATGTTTTACTGGACAGCTTTTGTTTGTCATTGATTTTTTTTGTTGTTCAATGATAGATAATTGAATAAGCTGTGATGTACATGTGAAATTATTAGTGACTGATACCTTTCATTTTGTGGTTATTTTTTCTGGCAGAGTTAATATGCCGGTTTTGTTGTTTATGGAACCTAGAGCTATAGCTGTGTAAGAATATACCTATTGGCATCCTGGGGTATCCTGATTCTCTGAAATGTTTTTTTTTACATTGAGTTCAGAGTTAGGTAGCTCGTTTTCGAAACTGTCTGAAACAAAGCTGCCTAGACCACCTTAAACTGTCTGAGTATACTTTCCTTAAATAGCTCACAGCTGTTCATATAACTCAGCAGTTTGATGTGCTGGAGGAAGCAGTAGTTTCAAGCAGTCCAAGTGCTGAGGATAAATCATTATCTCAAAACGGAAATATCTACATGACCTGTGACACTGTATGCACATTTAATGCTTTTTCATTCTAACCAATATTTATTGTAGTCAAAAATGAGGCCTTCTGTACTGAAGCAATCAAGACTGTTTTTAAATGATGAATTTATTTCATTTTTTGTTTGTGTTTTTTTTTATTTTTCAAATGCTGAATTTGTGTTTATAACTTTATCAACTAAAATTATCCCCCTTTAGTCTGCATTAGTAATGAAATAGGATTTGTTTCAATACTGGTTTATGTTGATTTGTGTGCCCTAAAGTCATATTTCTTTCTAATAATAAATTGACCAATCCATTAAATATTAAATTTATTTGTGGTTTTCCTAAATAAATCCCTGATCAAATCTCTAAGATTTATGTTAATATTTTGATAAGGACATTATACTGACAAGATAACAGTACATGTAGTGTATTCCTGAGAAAACTAGACAAAATTTAATATTAGAGAAGGAGTAATCCTTAAAGCTTGAATTGGATGCATCTTATAACTCGGGTTATTTTTCAGAATTCGTTATCTTATAATAAGCACTGTGGTTAAAACAGAACTATGTATATTATTTTATTCACTGCCTGGAGAATACTCCAATATTTTTGATATCTGGACTACTCTCATAAAACTAAAATGAAATGGAAATAAAAAAAAAATTATAATTCATAAATCCAATATGGCGACAATCTTTTTAAAAAAAAAATTATTTTGGCTTAGTTTTGTAACAAGAGTCCAACCGTAAGCTCAGACACAGAGTTTCACAGTTAATTAAGGTCTGTCTTATATTACCTGATAGACTTGCTACTGCTCATATACCGAGGGATACAAGAATGTATAGTTTTAAGAGTTATAATAGAAATATTAATGTATTTAAATGTCCAAAGATAATGTTGTAGATACTAGAACGAGTGTAAATTGTTTGTATATATTGTGTAAATATATTGTATATCAGACCATCATGAAATATAAGTTAAAACTAACCCTTCAAAACTACATTTTAATTACCATTAGATGTTTATTTCAAAACTAGACCCACAGTGAATCTTTAATCATTTCGATTACAGGAAAGGATGATTTTTGGGTGCCTCCGTAATCCAGGAATTGTTATGCATATGAATCTTCATTTTTATGATTGGTTGTCTGTTTGACAGAATGCATAGCAATGTTCCATGGACTAGCTACACACATGCACCTTCTTGAATTTTAGTGAAATTTTTTTTTATTTATCCTCGTCATAAGACAATCAAAATAAAAATTTACACTAAAATAATTTTTATTGGCTCTAATATATAACCTTTAATTTAGAATAATCTTCTATTATATTTGATAGAGCCATTACACATAACTTCTGTGAAGATGGAGGCTCTCCCATGTTTTTTAATTAAATTTGATAAGTGAATTTTTGAAAGTGAATGTTAGACTTATGGAAGGATTAGTTTTAATTATATTGTAATTAAGATGTATAATGAGTGAAAGGAATGTTATTAATTATTTTAATTATTAATAATAATAATAAAACAACATGTATATATACAATAAAATAAATAAAAAAAGAATTTTTATAACACTGATTATTTCATTGCTTATTTTATACCTGCAAGGTTTTTAAACTATTCTAAAGGAACACTTTCATTTGTGTTAAGCAGGGTTGGTCAGTGATGTTTTACTCTGGATCTGGAGGATTTGTCATCAATATGATTACTTTGGTTTTGATATCACATGTTCCGAGATCTTCCTTAGTGTGCCGTGAAATTTTGAACGGCAGGCTAAGAAAATTTCTCACTAAAGAAGCCAGCTTTTTGACTGATGAAATTCGAAACACTGCAGTAAAGTACAAGCGTAAGTTCATAGTTGTGTTTGTCTTTATTTACATGTAGTTTCAGTCATTCTATGTGTCTATGACTAGTCTGCGTCTAATCGTCTATGGTTGTACACCGTCTATGACTTGCCATATATATACAGGCCCGACGAAGTGCCCCACCCCAATTATTTGGCCGCAAGTACCCTTTTCTCCAAGTTATTGCACGTATTAACTATTCAGTTATATAGCCTACAGTGACGAACCATAGAAGTGAGCCTTCTAGAAGTAGAACGTAGACTTTCAGAAGAAAAAACAATGCCAAGCTTTATACTGATCCTTGGGTTAAGAGCCCCCCAGTTGCGAGGGTCGCGATTAGTTAACTTTACTGACCAGTCGAATATTTCTTGATGAATTTGACAGATTAAGATCTTCTTATTTGAATATATATAGGCCCACGACAAAAAACTTTGTGAAATGATCCATGTTACCAGTTAACCCGAATGGAGTCAGCGTTATAAGAAAATGTTTAAAAGCATTTCTTCATCCCCATCCCCATAGTAGAAATGAGAAAATAGCAGAAAATGTAGCAGGCGAAACAACTGACATGGACCCCGCAATATTGAATAGCCAATGGTCCGGGCCATTTGTGTTCGTGTTCTGGTTCAGACTGTAGTCGCCACCACAGTTTACATCCGAAGGTCGCCCTGGGTATGCTTTTACATTAATTGCGTAAAGGGGAACGGCCATTTGAACTTTGAATTTGTGTTCAGCCGTAATGGTGTGATATATTTGAACGGTTTTTAAAATCAATAAAAATTGTGACCTCTTAGAGGGTCCACAAGCTCAAGCTAAAAATGTGAATTTTCGTACATTCTGGGTCCATAATCCAAGAAGTTACGGTTATAAACATACGTTGTAAGTTTCATCAACATCGGATAAAATTTATGACCTCTAGTGTGTCCACAACCTTGGTATTATTATGCATATATTAATTTGTCCAGTTCAGCATCACAGGAAATCACCATTGACTGCAGTGCTTTCGTGGTAAGGGATTATAAAAAAAACACAAAAACTTCATTGCTGAATAATTCTAGTAGACTGGAGGCTCAGCGCGGGGGATGTCCATCAAATGGGCACAAAACCAAACCCAACTTTTCTAGGGTAAACTTTTGCGTAGAATACGATGCCGAGTGGTAATCAGTCCGCCGTTGGGGCGTTTTCGAGATATCCGGGGTCAAAGGTCAAATGAGTTCATTTGCACTGAAAGTGAATGCGCAGTCATTCTTGTATTATGAAAAGAAGCTGAAAATGATCGAAAGTAATCAAACTTTCAATAAAAATGTAAACTTGCTAAATTCACCTTAGTCGTAGTGACCCTGGAGGTCAAAAGGTGAAATTTACCGTTTTTGCACTAGGAAGATTTAAAGCAATAAAATGTCAACGTAAAATATAAAAACTAAAGCGAAACCTGTTCTAATTAATAATAGGAACGTTTAAAATTTATCTTTAGGTTGTCTTAGCACCGAACTTTTACTTTGGAACGTCGAAAATGAACTTGCATAACAGAACCAACACACTTTGAAACCTGTTTCAAAAATACATAAAAACTGTCAAATCGAAATCTCTCCGATTTATTTTCACAACGATTGTTATACATAATGATACTAGTTATCTGAAAAACAATTAAATAGTTTCAGTGTTGGACTCCAGCCTGCAGACCACGTGGATTTCCGAGAATCCTAGTCTAGGAAAACCGACGTTAATCTGCTGTGACGGAATTTCGCCGGAACATGGACGCAGATAAAACCGACGAATGCATTGTACATAGTAGTTCACAGGATATATATGTCGTATTGGTAAATGTTAGCGGTGAAAATTTGGGCAGGCTTTGTGACACGGCATCCAGACTGGATGTATAGCATTCGTTGTAAAACTAATTCGGTGAGATTTTGATTTAACAGTTTTTACGTATTTTTGAAACAGGCTCCGAAGCGTTTTGGTTCTGTTATGCAAGATCATTTTCGACGTTCCAAAGTAAAAGTTTGGTGTTAAGACCACCTAAAGATAAATTTTAAATGTTCCTATTATTAATTAGAACAGGTTTCGCTTTAGTTTTTATATTTTACGCAGACATTTATTACTTTAAATCTTCCTAGTGCTAAAACGGAAAATGTGACATTTTGACCTCGGGGGTCACAAAGAACAATGGTGAATTTAGCAAGTTTACATTTTTATTGAAAGTGTGATTACTTTCGATCAATTTTAGCTTATTTTCATGATACAAGAATGGCCGCGCATTCACTTTCAGTGCAAATGAACCCATTTGAACTTCGACCCCGAATATCTCGAAAACGCCCAAACGACGGGCTGATTACAACTCGGCATTGTATTCTACGCAAAATTTTACCCTGATTTATTTTGTAAAATTCAATTATTTTTCATATATATTTAGGAAGATGTGCCGCTATGTTTTCATCTTGTCCAAGGTGTGCGGTTGGCAAAAAAAGTTTTGAGAACTACTGTTCTGAGCATTAATTATTTGGAGGGGGGGGGGGCGGCTAATCTTATACGTCTGCTGTGACAGACTTTGTCAGAAACAAATTATCACATTGATGTCTGACAAAGTGTGTCACAGCAGACGTATGTCCAGGCTTGTATTTTTTTGTAATAAATTGTTCTTGACAAACTCTGTGGCAGTTGCCTGATGTCCAGATTTGCTTGGGGGTGTTCTCTTGGTTCTCTGGTTTCCACAACTTCTGAAGAACCCTGTGTGCAAGCAAATTATTGAATTAAGAGTCTCAAAATACACCATTTGTGTTGAGTGGAGGAGGTTTAACTCCATTTCTCTGTCAGCAAATGAACTTGGTTGACCAGTGAAAACAATCAACCATAGTTGCTACCTGACGTGTCTGTGGTTAATGGACTGGTGATCTGGTGTGATACACCCAGTTGTCAGGGACTGTAGAAAAAAAATGAACCCTCACAAATTCCACCAAAATACAAATACGATAAAATGAACCAATCCGGCAATGCACAACAACTATCTTGAAGATTAGACAGAGTTTCGTTCAAATCCAAAAAACGAAAAGCGAGTAATTACAAAAATATGGAGCTCCCGGGTGGATTACACCCAGTTGTGGGGATCACGTGGTTAAGTGGGTAAGACGCTGGCTCGCCAGCCTGGAGGTCGGGTGTTCGATCCCTGCATTCAGGGCCGGATTAACCATGGGGCACAGGCCCCAGGGCCCCCCACATTAGAGGGGCCCCCCACAAAAATCTCAGTTGCGTCCAGCCCCCTCCTCTAGTAATGCCATCATTTCATAGCACTCGCATGGATTGGTCCACTGAAATAACGCCAGAATGCACTAATTTTGTGGCAGAATTTTATTTTTTTCTGGGGGAGGTACTTCTAAATGGCTCCACACAAGTGCCTGAAATGCCAGGAAATCACGTTTCCGGCCTCCAATTTCTGAAATATTTCGGGGGGTGGGGGTGTCCCCGAACTCCGCTTACGGGGCTTCGCGCCTTCGGCGCTCGCGGTGGCACAGCTCCGCAGTCGGTGATCAGGGGCCCCCACATGTTCCAGGCCCCAGGGCCCCCACCATGGTTAATCCGACGATGCCTGCATTGGCCGAGAAAGTTCATCCAGATTTTCTGGCGTGGTTCCCCCTTGTCAGTTATGTAGGACGGAGGGCCTGACAAGGACAGCTTTCTAGTCCTTCGGATGAAACGAAAAACCGAGATCCCGTGTATACATTGGAATGCACGTAACAGGTCCCCTGGCAGTTGGAATTCGATATAAGAGTAGGCGATAGTGCCGCTGCCCGGGCAAAATTTCCCTCATAGCACACTGTATGGCGTATGCCCGTCTTCATTAGCCCAGCATAGGAGCAGAACAGTAGGACGTTAAACCCCATTTCATTTTATTTCATTTACACCCAGTTGTCAGGGATCAGGTATAAAATATTATTCCTATATAATTAGTATACGTACGGGTGTGTTACACCCAGTTGTCAGGGATCAGGTATGAAATATGTTGCAAGGGAAAGGGTTAAATCCCAAATGGGAAGTGAACAACAGGCTTCTAGCTAACTGGAACAATGATCTGTATAAGCATTTTATAGGTTGTAGCTACTTGGTAGAAAATAACCAGGGGCATGTTTCACGAAATTTTAACTAAGATAAAATCCAAATTTTAGTTATTTGATTGGATAATATTAGGTTGATTTTAGTGCTTAGTCAATCAAAATTGAAGTATCTACTAAAATTTAGATTTTATCTTTATTTAAGATTTCGAGAAACAGGGCCCTGGTGACTAAATTCTATCAACAGATCCAATGGTTTAAATACAACACATAATTTCTGCTTTGTTAGATGACAAATTCAAAATATGACGTGTATAAAACCTCTTAATAACCCCAACTACGTGCTTCACGGATTGTTTACTGTTTACATTTTAAACCAGGGGTTTGCGATGACCAATCTGAAGGAGCCACGGTTGCTCAGCGGGTAAGACGTTGGCTCGCTAACCTAGAGGTTGAGTGTTCGATCACTGCGTTGGGTGAGAAAATCCCCCCTTGTCAGTGGTGAAGGACAGGGCAGGGCAAGGGACACCTATAGTCTTTTGGATGAGACAAAAACCCGAGGCCCCATGCACGCATTGGCGTGCACTTAAAAGATCTCTTGGTAGTTGGAATTCGATATAAGAGTAGTCCGTAGTTCCGCTGTTCGGACAAAATTTCCCCCATAGCACACTGTATGGCGTATGCCCCTCTTCATTAGGTCAGTCGGAGCAGAACAGTAGGACGTTAAACCCCATTTCATTTCATTTACCAAACTGAAATTAACCCCAGCACCCAAATTTGATCGATACTATGGGCTCTGGGTAACATTATGGTCAGAGATAGAATTACCAATAATATAGGCTATATATACATTTTGGCCGTTCAATGGATTAAATATGAAATCTGTTACTTCAGTGATTTACCAATCTACATGTGAATACACACCCGACTAAGTGACTGTTCTTGAAATAAACGAATCAATACATTATCCTAACGATGTTAGTCAAGCAGGTATGCACGTATCATATCCCGGGGGCAATCCTATCCCACCACCGACAGTCCTCCCGTCTACATTAGACATGGAGTAAAAACGTAGGATGTTAAACACCTATTTCATTTCCGATCACTTCACCTGCACCACTGATCTATCATTTAACAACCAGAAGTCAGATTTCAAATTTATTTTATTTCAAATAGGTTGGTCGGCATAATGGAGCTTTTATGGTGCTCAAGCACCAGTCAATAACAAATAAAAATCATGCAAAATTTATGTATGTAAAATTGGTGCATCACTTCATAAAAGCAAAATTTCCAGACCAAAAGGAGTTATAAAAAAATATACTTTTGCATTTGAATAATGGGCATAACAGTGCCACAGATGATAATGGACTATCTTTCTTACACGCATACACACACCCAAACACTCATATTATTATATACAGAAATAATACGAAAGTTTTCTAGTTGCACTCGATGGGCTTGATTCCCATCAAAATTGATTTTACAGCAAATATGATAATACTCTAAAATCGTGATCTCTCAAAGACGAAAGCGCGCGTAGGAGATTACAATAATTACGATGGTATTATTTACAGTTAATCGAGTTAGGTTTAAATATAGTTATTTTTATATTTGTCGTGCATAGCAAAAAAAGTCCGTTATCTTAGGAGCCCAATTAGAATTGGCCCACTGAATAAGCTCTTAACATAAGCCTTTGCTTTTAAGGATTACTAAGCGACCCTACAACTTGTCACACGGCCACTCAACTCCCCAGATGCAAATCATGATGCATTAACTGCATCTTATTACGCGAGTTTAGGCCTACATCCCTTTAATTCTCGGCACCGTGTTCATAAACTATCGACGAGCTGTAACAACAATACTGTCTTTTAAAAGTTCCAGACTATCTTCGGAGAGGTTCCAACCCAAAAAGTGTTCAAGTAACATAATTGAAATACATTACGATGTTCTAGAATCTCTTAACGAGTCTTTAATAGGATTTTTTTTAAAAATTGGATGTCCACTGTTATTGGACTTTTGTGTATGGACCTTTAAGATACTAATATTGAAGCATGCCAATGCCGAAAGCAACGCACATTTTCACTTTGAAGCCTTTTTCCAAAAGCACAAAACTTGTCTGGCCTCTTCCCGGAATTTAGCATTGCAAAAGCTATACACCAACGGATTAACGGCAGCGTTGATGTAATGTGAACGCAGAACGACGTTGTACGCCATAAACGCCGATTGCGACATATTCTTCACAAAGTTTTTGTTGAAGACTTTAATAATTGAGATGGATAAATAAGGGAGATAGCTGATGATGAATACAACGGTGATGATAGATAACATGAGAGTTGTCCGCGTCTTCATCTTCTTCGCTTTTACGTTCTTCTCAACCTTTTGAGCCGTAGCAACTATTTTATCGAAGCCTGGCGATGATTTGGAAACATCCAATAAAGTAGCCTTCTGTTGGTGACTTCTTGGGTTCGGGGGCGTTTGGATCACATAAGGTTTTTGCTCCGACTCCGAATTACTTTGAACTACCGGTAGGCGTACCTCAGTCTGGATATCTGCACGTGGTGGTTCTGGAGAAGGAACTGAAGTGGAAGCAGTCCCAGTAGAGCTCGGATCCGAAGATGAATTATTAGTGTTAGACGTGTAAGCTACCTTTACGTCACGTTTCGCCATCTTATTCTCCTTACTTTTAAAATTGAATTTACTGTGCTTAAAGACTGTTTTTCCAATGAGACTATACATAATTATCATAGCCGTAAGGGACGAGAGAAACAGTAGGAATTGAAATCCCAGAAAAATCTTTGGAAATGCGGCTTTTTGAAAATTGTCAGCGTACTTGCATTCTGTCCCAAGGATGCCTGGAATCCCTGTTGGAATGTTCTTCACACCATTCAATAGAAGCGAGGGCAAACTGATCGACAAGCTACATACGACAACGCATCCAATTAGTATCTTTGCCAGACGTATGGAGATCTGTTTTCTCATCACTTTACAGATCTTTCTGTGCCTATCAACGGCAACAACGACTAAAGAGAAAATGGATGAGAAGGTGGTGAAATAATTGAAGAATCTTTTCAGCTTACACAGATGATTGTTGGTGAATCTAGAAAATAAAAGATTAACTTTTGTTAACTTATGGGCTTTTAATTCGATGTGAGTTTAAAATGATTCTAAGATATAGTCCATCTGAAGAATTAGGTTTAGGGTTTTATGCGGTGTTCTTACTTTAGCTGAAGTCAAACATTTTAATAATTTGGAAGTTTTCAATTTTAAGGCTTCATGATAGTGAATATTAATATTTTATAATTCATATATATAAAATTCAGCATTAACTTGTCTATTCTTTTTAATTTTCTGAAACTGTCTAAATTTGTCTTTTAATGTTTCTGCGAAGTACGACGTTGTGGACCGATACATTCAACAGCTCGAAATCTAGGACATGACCTACGACAAGGATATTATATCTACAAATTTAGTAATCTTATAAATTGTCCACTGTGATTGAATCTTAAATGTAGCTTGAGGGGTGGAATTCAATGAGATTAGAATCAGAGGTTTTATATTCTGTTTTCCGGAAATCTGACAATTTTTTAATGCTTATTTGTATGACATTGATTTTACATTGTCCACTGATCTGCTTATAGACTCATTGCAGTCTGGTGCATAACATAACCATCAAATTGGCAGATGTTCTAATATAGTGTTGAAAATCAAAATCATAAAGATATATTTTAATTGGTACATTTACCTGTATGCAAAATAAATATCTAGTATTTCTCCAGGTTGTGCCATCGTGTTATTCATCAGGTCAAACATTGCTAAACTAATTATAAAAATACGGGCTGTGCTGGGCTTGAATCTGGTGACGTAGACTACAAGAACTAAGATATTTCCGAACAGTCCAGTCATAATTAAGGTACCAATATACAGAAAGGTTGGAACCATAAGTTTCGCATTTTCAATGTCTAAATACTCTAAGTAGTTGTCTATTTCCTCTTGACTATAATTACTAGGTGTTGTCATGGAGTTGTTCGTTGTCATGGTGATTGTCGTTGAGAAGGTTACTGCGTCAAGGTCACCAGAACCGGTTGTTTCTATTTCATTCTGTGACATTTTGTAGCATCTAAAACAAAAATAAATGTAATTAGTTATTAAACGTCTTCTTTTCGACTGTTTGAATTTCTGTATCGATGGTTTTATTAATTGGTTCCCAAAACTAATTTGGTTATGACATAATAGAAGAGATTCCAATGAATGGGATAAATACAGCGGTAGGTCCAGTGTCTTTATTAAAGCTACATTTTGTATGACGATAACAAATTTCTAATAAATGGTGAAAGATATAATTATTAAATGTGCCAGTCAACCTGGAGGTCGGGTGTTCGATCCCTGCATTGGCCGAGAAAGTTCTCCCAGATTTTCCGGCGCGGTTTCCCCTTGCCAGTGATGCAGGATGGAGGACCTGACAAGGACAGCTGTCTAGTCGTTCGGATGGGACGAAAAACCGAGGTCCCGTGTACACATTGGCGTGCACGTGAAAGATCCCTTGGCAGTTGGAATTCGATATAAGAGTAGGCCGTAGCGCCGCTGCCCGGGCAAAATTTCCCTCATAGCACACTGTATGGCGTATGCCCGTCTTCATTAGCCCAGGTTAGGAGCAGAACAGTAGGACGTTAAACCCCATTTCATTTCATTTCATCCAATCTGACGAGAAAACATTCAATTAAAGCTTTTTGTTGAGGACAAATCAAACTATTAAAATGGGTTCATCCGAGGTGTTATTTCTACATGTATTAGTGCTGGAGGAAACTCCCTTCGACTCAATTTTTGTTTGGGAAATCGGATTGTTTGACTTATATGCATGGCCTCCAATCAAACACAAAATCGGTTACGTAACATTCTCTTTATCAAATGACTTACAATTTTCAACAAAAAATACCGAATACAATGAACCCGATATTTGAATTTGACCCAGATAGATCTATTTATCTGAAGTTATTTTAAACGTAAAAGGACTTCATTGTACACGAGTAAACAGGATCATAAAACACAATCAGGTTGTTGAATCTGTCGATAGATTAGTCGTAGGCCTACAGGTATGCACACTTAACATCCGTGCTAAAGTAATATTGTTTAGTCATCCTATTTGAGAGCTTCAGTTCATATTTGGGTGTTAAAGGACAAGATTGGTGTCAGGCATGTTCACATATTATGTGATAGAACTAGTAAACGCGTTCCAAATATGATTTTAAAACAGAGATCATTGCTACGATAGATGCGTAATAAAGATTTCAAGAAACGGAAGTGACGAAAGCAAAAGGAAAACATGTGCTATCCATCTATATAACTGGCTGAAGTGGCGATTTATAATAGATACACGGACGAATTTCTGCTCACAAGTAATTCCTTCGAAGATCAACAGTTGTTATATCAGGCTGTTTGGGAGGTGGGGGGGGGGGGATATCTGACAATTTAAAAAAAAAATAAAGACTGTGACCAGATAAGAGAGAGAAAAAAAAATAGAAAACGCCAGGGAGAGAGAAATGGGCTTTAACGTCCACTCGACACAAACTAGGTCATTTCGGGACTAACATATGGTTTAATTTTATTTCAATAATTCGCTTGCGCGTAGGAGTCTTTAGCAGTGGGAGGAAACCGGAGGACCCGGATAAAACCCACGAGGTTGGACAGGCGACCCTACTCCTTGGCACGTACAACCGGGGATTCGAAACCACGCCAGTTGACTCAATGACAGGTCGTATAATACAGCACGCACGTGCTAATCATTCGCCCCCCCCCCCCCCCAAATAAAAACAAGGGAATGTACGAACTATTTCTATTTTTCTCGTTTTCTCTTATCTAGTGAGATTAAATTATTTTTTTGAATTGTCAGATATCCTCTCACAGTCTCACATAACAACTTTTGGTCTTCGAAGGAATTAATAGTGAGCACTTTAGTCTATTATATTGAAGGATAACTCGTGTTTTCCTTTTGCTTTCGTCACTTCCGTTTCTTGAAATCTTCATTACGCGTCTATCGTAGCAATGATCTCGATGTTATAATTATATTTGGAACGTGTTTAACCACTTCTATCACATATATGACAATGACTGACACAAATATTGTCCTTTTTAATGGTCGTGTCTGGAATTATTATACACGTCCATTTAGCCAAGAAAATTGTAATTATCTGAACTCGACTGAATATTACCGGAAAACGACGAGTATTTTAACAAACGTGTACCAGACATGAACATTAATTTTTTCCGGACATCGTTGAACTTTGTATGTCTATGTCTACTCTTTGCACTTTATTTTTAGACTATTTACATGTATATATTTTAAAGATGTATTTATGTAAGAGCTCAGTCTGACAAATGCAGATCTTTGGTTTTGTCCCAAATGTTATATAAATCATTAATTAGACATTTATTCAAATGCCAGGTCACTAATTCTCTAGGTCATCAACTGCTTTTAATTTTTAACTCATCTAAACGCGAAGGCAATTTGACAATTAAATTACAAAAGGGATAATTGAAACTTTGTTAATTATCGTAACAACGGTAGCAATGAAAATGGAGTAAATGACTGAAATATTCAACGTATTCCCTATTCATTATCTATTTTTTAAAACTATTATAGCGAGAACTGTCAGCCCTTTATCTAAATCTTTACATAATGCATCTTTAAAAAGCGTGTTTATGAATAACAGTGATAAAAATTCGTTTAAGTCTAAACAAGGATAACATTAGTATCAAAATATCTCGTCAAGTAATTTAAAGACGTCGTCGATGTCATCTCACTTATAATACCAACGAAACGGTCGTTTCTTGGGCCAAGAATTTTAATTGAACACAAACTAAAAATATACATGTAATGTGTTTTCAAGTACTAAATAATATTAATGTGTTTTAAGTACTAAATAATATTAATGTTTTTGAGGTTACCATTCACTTGAAGGACTGTGTACCTGCATGTAATTTAAAGCTACAGTTTACGATACACATTACACACCCTAAACAATAATCCCTCACATATTCGGAAACATATTGGCATTTCTTGAAAAAATTCCGATAATTTCCGTGATATTTGAATGTGAGCTATACGACGCGTAATGTATAAAGTGCATCGACACACGTCTACAATATTTACGAAAAGTCTGATTTTCTTGTGTCAACAGATTTTCCAGAAGGTAATGAGCAAGGGTGTTGGAACGGTAAGGCACTGGACTGGCGACTAGAAAATTCCGGATCCTGATCCCTGTGTACGCTGAGAAGAACATTTGGGATTTTTCAAGCTCGATAATTCCGTCTTGGGTGGGGCCGGCGAGGCTGACATGGAAAGTGTGCCAAGTTGTTCGGATGAGACTAAAAACCGAGATTCTCACATTGGTGTACACTGTACATGTACAATAACTCTGGTAGTTGGAATTCGACGAAGAGTCCGTGCGTCCGCGCAAAATTACCCCCAACCCCCCTTCACGCATTGCTCGTATGACCAATAAAATGAGAATTGTGTTCACGAGTTACACCCCATTCTATTCCAAACAGAAGGAAACACGTAATTAGATTTCGGACCACCCGTAAAAGAATCTGGAAAGTGCAATGAATCACGTTGAGTGCAATAATGAATCGAGAAACTGAATGATACAAACAATAAATCATTTCAGTACGTCGATCTTTTTAAAGGCTCAATACCACTCTTGTTGTAACTGAATAATATGCCCCAATCTTTATTCTGGTCAACAAATTGTACTATTTTACAATATCCCAATTAATTGATGATACAAATTTCATCTTAACACACCTAATTTATTTAAAAAATCGGAAAAATTCAACTAAATGATTTGAAAAGCCTGACGTAAAGCTTTTCAAATGTGACTTGGATTTAAAAATATTTTTAAACCCTCTGGACAAATAAAATAGGATTTAATGGATAATTTACACAACAGGTAGGACACTAACACATCTAGTACTTAGAATAAGGCTATTTTTTATTTTCTGGAGCTGTCAAGCCAGTTATTGTCCCTTTAAAATATTAATTCGCACGTAAAATATCCTCAATACATAAAACATACATAATTTTACATTTTATAGGTTGTGTTACTTTCCTTATACAACGTGATGAATAGTCTCGGGTAATGAAATACATCAATGTCGCTTTAAGCTAAAGTTGTTGAGATTTAATTATTAGTGACGAAATGTCGTATTTTGGTTGATTTTTAAAACTCAAATCAGACTAATTTATTAATTAGTGACATGAATAACATATGGCTTTCAGTTAAAATTCCGGGTGCTTAAAGGGAAAGGGGAGGTACAATACGAACAGAGTATTAATATTATCATGGACCTTTATTATAGTTAACAACTGAATGTAACATACTGGAATGGAGTTTAACCCCTCTTCGGTACTTCAATTAAGTTATTTTGAAACTTAAAAAAAATAATTTTTACTGGTGTCACTATGCGTGGTGAGTGTGTGTGTTGGGGGAGGGGGGGGGGACAAAGCCCAATCTTCTCCTAATTCCATCTGCCAAGCCCGAACAATGCTTACGTGGACTTCCAATGATAGGTACATCGACTTGCCTTGCATTCCGAACGACTAGACATACTTTCGTCCTTATTCGTTTCAATTATTTATATGACACATTGTCGTTATGCTTTTCGTGAATTTGAAAAAAAAGCTAACACATTCTAGGGATTCGAAGTTATTTTAACTATGAATGAAAAGATGGTATTCTTATTCTTTCTAGAACACCTAATAACATCTATAATGGATTTGGTAGGTTTGTACAGCTAATATTATAGTAAACGATATTATACTTACCACACGTGCCCCACTTAAAACACTGCTATCGTCAACTGTTCTCTAAATCGACTGTGGAGAGTGTTGCAAGGCGAACATTCGTAACCAATATTCTTATATATATTACGTAACGCCTTTTATTGTCTTTACGTATTTCCGATTCCAGTGTCACGAGAATTCCCCAGATTTTTATTACTTAGATGTATTTGACCGAAATATCGCCCAAACTTGGAGAAACTCTTATAGTTTAGCCAATGAAAATATATTAACATATCTAATTTTACGACGTATATAGAACATCCTGATGCGACTCCTAACAGCGAATGTTTCATTAAGTGTTAGTATTTTATGAATGACATCACATGTACTTGTATATCTCACCGAAAACATTTACTGTCTCGCTAGAGGTAAAAACGAATTGAACAATTGTGAACTACCCATATACAAGTTAACAACGTTTTCGAGTAGAGAATCTGTAGAATTTCGATCTTTTGAACTTGGATCAGATTTTACTGGGCGTGACTACCTTGACATTTCTAAATTTCAGCTTCCCAATAATTTCAAGGTTTCTGTATACATCTACACTAATACATACATTTATTGCAGAAAAGTCAACATTCTACACAGAGAGAAATTCATATGTTGAGAGTAAATATGCTCTGCCCAGAATGGCCTACATATGAAAAATTAGTGTACTATTGTGGTATGTGCTTCTAATCCTTTTTAGTTCTAACAAGACTAAATAATCATTTTCAATTTTAATAAATGTAAAATTGGGAGCGGAATAAACACTTCTAAAAATTCTTTAGGTATTCTTAATGTTTTTGACTAAAACCGTCGATGCAGGAATTAAAAATGTAAGTCTCTACTGAGAAAGCTCCTCTGGATTTCGCAATCTGATGTATAAGGATGGGATGAAAAACCGACGCGCCCTGTATACCATTGACCGCACGTTAAAGACCTCCTGACAATTTGACATAGAAATAACGGTAAGCCTTAATGCGGCCGTTAGTGCAAAATTTCCATAGCCCTGTTGATGCATGCAAAAAAAGTAAGACGTTAAACCCCATTTCATTTTATTTCCTCATGTCACTAGTAAAAACAAGTATGGACGTACTATGGACGAGGAACTGAGTATGACAACATGGCCATCTCTAACAAAAATCCAACTGATTACCCTACCCCCCGCTCAATATTTAACAAAATTTGTAAAAAAAAAACCCACTTTTTATGAGGAAAGTGTAACTGTCAGGTGCTTTATCCTTTATCATCAGATGGTGGGGTGGGATGGATTTTCAAAGCACGATATAATGATATATACGTGACTGATATCACAATTAATGCTTTGCATCAATGAAATTGAATCACAATGTGATCCTATTTTAATAGGATATAGAAATTGACGTCAAACGGGGATGTTGGATTTCTCTATTTAAAAAGCTCAGTGTGTATGTATGTATGTATGACGAAGATGGAATCATGCATTTTCAACTATCAAATTTTCTTAACAGGAACCTGGCAAACCCCCTCCTGCAAAAATTCTAGGATCCACCCTGATTTGGGGACCCGCCCCTCGTGCAAAGATCTTACTGTCAGTTAAATTCCCATATATATGTAGGTACGCATTATCATGCGATAAGCTTACTAACAGTAGCTGTCTTAATTCAGGAATGTGACACATACAGCAAGAAAATATTGCCATTTATTGTGTACAGGACATGACTGATAAATCACACATTGTTTGTTTATTACTCGAGTACAAACTTTGTATGTCACACTTAAAGCTACAATTTCATATTTTTAAGTTATATTTTTATAAAATTTATTAAAATAAAGCCCTAAAATAGATGGTATCCATAAACCGCCCTACCTTGTTAAAGAAAAATCCTATTAATCCTATAATTCACTATTGCCAGCTGAGAAATTGGCAAAAATATTATTTTAAACCTTAAATTCCAACGTTTGAAGGTAGCTAATGCATGGAGGCAATAGGAAAACATGGGAGGTAATTGTGTTATTATTTCCTGTGTCAATGATTTTTAAGGGTAGGAAATAATGCCCATGGTCGTATAATAGTGAGTTGATAACCTATTGAGCAAATGACATAGAAATAATTATGTTTTGACTTTCTTAGAAAATATGAAATTCCCGCTTTAATTTGTTAGAGAGGAATCAGCCCACGGGTTAGAAAAGGGAACTACCTTTTCAAAGGGACTTTACATTGTTCAATTCATTTTATTACATCGAATCGTCTTGGGATCACGGTGGCTAAGTGGGTAAGACGCTGGTTCGCTAGCTTGGAGGTCGGGTGTTCGATCCCTCCATATGCCGAGAAACGTTCATCCAGATTTTTCGGCGTGGTTCCCCCTTGTCAATGATGCAGGACGGAGGGCCTAGCAAGGACAGCTGTCTAGTCGTTCGGAATTCGATATAAGAGTACTCTGTAGTGCCGCTGTCCGGGTAAAACTTCCTTTATAGCAAACTGTATGTCATATGCCCGTCTTCATTAGCCCAGTTCGGAGCAAAACAGTAGGTCGTTAAACCCCATTTTATTTCATTTATGTTTGTTTTGCCATTGTTTGTTTTTAGTTTTTGCTAGATACAACCAATAGATCAAACAGCTTTAATTGACTCAATATTTAATAACCTATAGCTTTATAGGTTTGATAAATTGGACCCCTCAGCAAAATATTTGTTTTTTAAAAGTTTGAAATTGATTTCAGATATATAGCCCCACCATATCTGATAAAGATTAAATATACAGTGTAAACACCATCAAAAGTACTTTAATTGAATATAAAACATATTTCAATCGGTCAAATTAACAGGGTTTCTGTTGATGTCTTTCTTTATCTTAAAGTAATAATGATAATGCCATGTACAGATGAATTCCGTGTACATGGTTGCAATCTGTTACATCCAGTTTAATCCCTATTTTCCAAACGGTAATCTGTAAAAATCTGAGATGTTTAAACTAAACATCTGAGATGTTTAAGCTAATCAGTTGTCAAAGTGAAAATGGGGAATTTTGTCCATGTTCACATGTGTTAGGGGACATTTGTTTTTAAGGACGTCTGTCTACAGGCGGTGTCTGTCATTCTCCTAAAACGGCGAATGCTGTCATTCTTCTAAAACGGCGAATGGCGAACGCCAAAAAAAAAAAAAAAATGAAAAAATAAAATAAAAATAAAATTAAAATAAATAGAGGATATTTGTCGTTTTGTCGTGAATAACATATTTTATTTCACCGAGAAGCAAGAAAACTTATATTTTCACGAATGCGTAGCCCACATAATATGTAAAATTGATTTTACTAACAATCATTTAAACTATAATAAATACAGTCATCAAATAGATGGATGGGCGTTGACGCATTCTGACATGAAGAGTGCCTTTGGGCGATAACATCAAAAGAGGCTTCCCCGTGGGGCTTCCACGTCGATTAGGAAATCCGAACGTGTAGCCTACACAGTGGCATTAGAACTATACAAAAACTGGGCGAGAACATTGCTTTCCGCCCGTGTGTTTAACTACATTTTTTTGGCGTTTCAAAATACAAATTTATTCAAATGACGGCTGACAAGGAGCATTAATAGTGATGATTAATTAACATCCTTTTGTTGATTGGAAAGCGACATCTCTCATGGATGTGTATTGACCTTGCAAACAATAATAAACGGATAAACTTGTTTGAGTCCGTAAATTCAGTCAAACCTCCGGATAAAAACACTTTCAAACAATGTCGTTTCACTTCTGGCAACATGCTGAAATTGCCCAAAATATGCGCGCAGCTATAAAACGGAACTTAAAACGTGCAACATTCACAATTTGCGTATAATGGCGGAACATGGGGTCGGAGAGGCGTAATTTATTAGACCGTTTATATGCCCAAAATTTCTTGTCAACGCCCTGCATATCCTGTTTGTTTTGTGAGTTATGCAGGGACTTAAAGAAGGCAAGTCTCTAACCCAATATCACCCACAGTCTTCGGCATTGTAAACACGCCTTATTGGTCAACCCCTCATGTCGGAGGCTGGTATCAGCCTTGACAGTATTGCGAATACCCCTTTCTTTAGGTCTCCGCCGTGGGCTATATCTCCCCCAAAGATCGATTTCGATCTTACTCAACATAAGAAGAGAGATACTAGCTCGATGATGTTCCAATCTCTCTTTAGAGAGCTAAGGTCTAAATATGGTGATTTTTCTCCTATTTACACAGATGGTTCTAAAGATGGTGATCGGGTGGCTTCGGCTACAGTGACGCCAACTGAGACCATTTCTGTGTGTCTTCCACCTGCTGCTTCAATATTTACAGCTGAACTCCAGGCCATTCTTCGGGCCTTGGAGTTCATTCAATCATCATTATTACTACAGCACATCATCTTTACTGGTTCTCTGTCCTCGCTTCAAGCAATTAACAATAAACAGTCTTTTGCTGGCTCCCCAGTCACGTTGATATAAGGGGGAATGATCAAGCAGATTTTGCTGCCAAAGCTGCTTTAGATCTTCCCCAAGCATCCTTTTTAATACCATATAAAGATTTTAAATCTTCAATAAATCATTTCATTTATGGCCGCTGGCAACGGTCTTGGGATCTTGCAGACACTAACAAACTTCATCACATTAAGTCTCTCTTAGGGGATTGGCCAAACTCCTACAGAACCAACAGGAGAGATGAAGTTGTTTTGTGTCGCTCTGGTATTGATCATACTTTTTTTAACACATATTTTTAACTTAAAGCGAGAGCCCCAACCTGAATGTCCTCACTGTAAAGTTTCTTTGACAGTTAAGCCCATTCTGATTGAGTGCAAGTTTTATTGAGACACCAGAACAAATTATTACCGTTGCCAATCATTAAATCATTTATTTGCCCAACCGGGTCTATATTCGAAATTACTAGACTTTTTAAAAGAGACAAATTTTTATAAACAATTTTAATTGTAAATATATATCATATTGTTTTTCATTTATAAATATTTGTGTACATGAAGTTGTGATTTTTATTTTTTAATTATTTAATATACTGTTATATTTGCTTTTATTTGTGTACATAAATTACATGTGATAATATTTAGTTTGTCTCGTAATATTCACCATATGTCTGGCGCAATATATCCCGGTTGGAGCTGACCTGCCATAAAACCACATTTCATTTCATTTCATTTTTCTTTTACCGTGAAAAGACTGGTTTCTGATATACAATATTTAAGACAAAATGATGCAACCAGACGTTTTGACTTTAATGTAGCACGAACGAGTTCGTTGCGTATTAATTGCGACACAAACCCATTGCTATTGTTGTTTAATATTTTCTCTTTGTCCAATGTATGAAAGAGTTCGAGGCGTAGTCGTTATATAGGAGGTCATGTTATACTCCTATTAGTCGTAAAAGCACGGTGACATTATTGCATGACAATTATACATGTAATCCGGATATAAAATTTGAAGTAGGTCTAGACACTTGATATACTTTAAGTGGCGAAGCCGGAGATAGAAGAACGGAACTGATAAAAGAATAAAACTATGGCGTAGCATCGCTCGCGATATCATTCATATAAATAGATCAATTTTATGTGCAATCAGTCTGATTAACGTCATCGTGAATTTGACGTCATAATGTTGAAGAAACGGGAAGTTACGCAAAAAAAGACAAACACCATTTTTGTGCAGGTAGACCACCAGTTACTTCCTCAAAATCGTCGATTTAGGAAATAAAATTAATGTCGGTCAATTAGGTTCGTATCTGTCCTCATGCGGGGCTAAATGTAGACACCCCACCCTCATTACGTCCTCTAACTATACAGTACCTGTCATTTACCCCCCCCCCCCCCAATACACACCCTTTTTTATTTACATGACGATTTCTGTTGAATTGCCATTTTCTGTCAGGCTTTGGTAAATATTCATGGTTTAGGCGCGTAAGCACCACAAACTAGGTTCACTAGTATACACATTTGAAATTTCATCGAGGATTTTCTTGAATGGTTCCCCCTTGTCAACGGTGGAGGACAGGAGGTCTGGTAAGGCACAACGCACATCCACTGGCGTGCACGAAATAAGAGTAGGCCTTAGTGCCGCTGTCCGGGCAAAATTTCCCTCAAAGCACTCTAAAAATTGGACACTAAACCCCATTTCATTCGCAATGGGTTTAATGTCCTACTTTTCTGTATCAAATGGGCTAATGAAGACGGCTAAATCTATTTGTTAAGGCCAGGTCAAGTTTCGTCATGGTCGTTGAGATGTAAATAAGGTTAGTGCAAGTGATTGTTGGCGAGAATGTTTATATCTCGTGACCTTTCACCAACCTTGAACAGACCTAACCGTATACGCCACATGCCGTGTGATATTTGACCCGGGCAGTCTTGCTCATCATACTAAACATGAGAACATACATTAAGCTAGTTGACAGACATTTTAAGTCCTACATCGACGATTTTAGTCGAAAACACTAAGTATACTTCGAGAATTTATATCACTTCCATTTAATAAACTTGAAACAGTTTATCTAGTCTTTGTGTGTATGACAGATGTGACACGGAGTGGAACCGCAGTACAAAGCAGTATACTAATTTTTGGATATGGCGGCCATTTCAGACAGAGGTCTATTCTCGATGTATGAAGTAGATGGATCTCTGTGTGCAGAATGCTTACCCTTCATTAGCTCAGTCGGTGCAGAAAGGGGGGTTGGATGGCTGAATGGTTAGCGTGTGCACGCTGTATCATAAAGTCTGTCATTGAGTCAACTGGCATGGTTTCGAATCCCCGGTTGTACGTGACAAGGAGTAGGGTCGCCTGTCCAACCTCGTGGGTTTTCTCCGGGTCCTCTGGTTTCCTCCCACTACTAAACACCCTACGCGCAAGCGAATTATTGAAATAAAATTAAACCATATATTAGTCCCGAAATGACCTAGTTTGTGTCGAGTGGACGTTAAACTCCATCTCTCTCTCTCTCGGGGCAGAAAACTAAGACATTAAAAACACTATTTCATCTAATCTCCATTACCATGGTTAGGTCAGAAAAGTTAGATATTACACCCCATTTCACTTTATTACTTAAAAAAGGTGACTCGGGTGGTCGGGGAAGAGTGAACATAATAACCCATGTATCTGTATAACACCACAAGTTTGAAATTTCGGAATTAATGGTTCTTATCGGATATATTCATGTTTGTTCCATTCATGTTTTGTTGGGCAGTTGGCCCGTTTTGTCAAAATAATCTCAAATCTTTAGATTTGTACACGATTGATTAATCTCAAAGTCAAAACATCAACAATGAATTGACAGATTTGTTCCAAATTTTACATAATGAAATGAAATGAAATTGAGTTTAATTCCCTACTGTTCAGCTCCGACTAAGCTGATGAAGAGAACATTTATATACAAACTCGTTTGAACATCTGCTGTGACCGTGTAGTCATATCATTAAAATTCAAAATTTTTACATTTTATTGATAGACGACCAAGTCCAATCCCCCTTTAAATGACTAGTATGTCTATCATAGATAAAAAAAAGTTTAAATGCAAGCGACAACCAGGAAGAAAGAAAATACTATAAAAAAGGGAGGTAACTGTCATGATCATGATATTAGAGAAGTAGATCAGGAAGAAATGTGAATACATCCCGGTCTCACATTTATCACTTTATTTGATGGGGTCGCCCCAGAAACATTTTACTGTTTGAAACAGGCTAATTATGTATGTAATACTATTATAAACTGATATCCTAGTCTTGTACAACTAGTTTGTTCTCTGTAGTAAATTTCGCAGAGATGCAAATTTTCATTTTTTATGTATTATGTGATTGGCGATGACTCCCGAAATTCCACCCAATTCCTGGTTAGATATAAATATTAAGGCCACCTCAAGATTTCGTCAAGGTTTTGAGATGTAAACAGGACCAGCGCTAACCCGAACCCTAACCCCAACCCACAATTCTCGACAACAACCCTGTTTACATATCTTGACCATGACGAAATCTGCAGGTGGCCTTAATATTTAGATCTGACCCCAATTCCTGGATAGTCATGCCTGCGCAATTGCTTTAGTTATACGGGAGTTGCTACCCTGTTTAAAGTATTAGGTTTAGGGTTAGTATTTCCCAACATACTCATTTATATTAAGCCGCGATCATTGCAGACTCCGGAAATTCCCGAACCTCCCCAACCGGCCTACAATTAGTATCTCCCAAGTTATATACATAGTATTATCTAATGATCTTGAGTATGATGCCAGGCAGATAAATGAATGCGTTACTTGATCACGTTAAGCAAATCTGGAGATCATTTTAGACCTGATCAATATTTCGAACTGAATTTTCGGACAGGCTATTTGGGCTAAATATTAATATTTTATCGTTTAATTTTAAATCTAAACCCACTTCTATTCACAGGCACACTGTGGGTTCTGAGGCTACTCTTTTAATAAAAAAAACATATGGACTCGTTTAGTTGTTATTTTCCTGACAAAACAGAAATAAAATCTTCTTTAAACATGCAGGGTAACTGCCAAACAGAACATAGACACAACAAACGACACCGGAAAACATATGAATACAAAATGATTAGATGTATATAGGCTTATGCCTAGAACTGAAACATCAGTACTAGTCTTACACTTGACGTTTATTTGCAAGTAGAATGACAGGCCTGTGTGATATACAATAGGCCTATTAGATAATAAAAAGAGATATGCAAAATAAAATCAAAGATTTATACTAATAGTTACAGTTGGGGTTGTTGAAAAGCTCTCCTTGGGAGCATTACATAACAACGAAAAACAATAAGAAACGGGATTAAGATAATATGAAAACTGGAATCCAATAGATACGAAACTACGCAAGTTTCATGCGGCAGCAAACATGCGTAACTGTCCACCGAGTTAAACTGCGAGACCTGTTGGTAGAGACATCGGATGTTGTTTAGTACGATACTCTAAATGCGCAGTATCACAGCACCCACCCCACCCCAAACACATCCAGACTCCAACTATCGTATAATTTCGTCTTAAAAGAATGAATTATAAGAGACACCAATTCATGTTATATAAAAAAAACGACAGCAACGCATTCATTCCGAAATGTGTTTTATATAGAAAGTACATTCCTGCATGCAACTAGGAGCATAAAAAAATCCACGTTAACTGTCGGGAAAACAAGAGTCGTATAAACACTTTTTGTCTGACAAGAGGTGTGCGTAATACTGCAGTTGATATAGATCTTGAAAACGTATTTCGTACCTGGTGCGCCTTTAATGTCACTATTTCCGACGGCACGAATAGTATTAGCCTACCTATCATTTTATCTGGAGCAAGGAAAGAGAACTATCTTGGCTTCCTCTCTAAATCTGACATTACAGAAGCTGTAGACGATTGGATTGACTGCCGAGTTGAAAAAATATGATCTGAGAAATATATTATAGATTTTATACTCCGTATCACTCATTGACGTGACAAAATTCGTATCCAAGCGCTTCATCACTGATATAGTTAGGTAAGGGACGCAACTCACAATAAATACCATGGTAATGCCAACCAACATTAGAGTTGTCCTGTTCTTGATTTTTCGCGCCTTCATTCGCTTATTCAACTGAATACTTTGTCTCGCGGTGTATCTAGGCATGGCTTCTGAGTTTCCATCCGATTGAACCTCGCTGGTTTCCACCGCACTGTCTTCCATTACCTCGATGTTGGATACCTTGTTTACCTCAATAGCTCCAAAGGAAACAGACCTCGCGGTTTTCTTTTCTCCAGCTAGTTCCTTCTTCTTCTCGGCGCTTAATTTTTTGAAGCTGAAGCGGCTGTGGATGAAAATTTTCCGTCCAATCATAAGGTACATTGTTATCAATATGCATAGAGAAAACACGAAAATAAGGAACTGGGCACCAACCAAAACCTTGGGGTACCAAGTGTCCTGGTAGAAGTTATTAAAGGTACATTCCGACACTGTTACGTTTCGGCCATTATAGGGGAATTCATACTCGTGAATACCGTTCAGAATAATGGCTGGGACGGTTATTACGCTCCCAGCAAATAAGGCGCTCCCTACCATCAGTTTGGCACCATTTTCTGTAATTTGTCGAGAATACGGCTTGCAGACTTTGCGATAGCGGTCGATAGAAACACCTATAAGAATATATATTGATGAAAACACCGTGATATAGTTATTGAATCTAATTATCTTACACATAGCGTTATCAAGGAAAGTGTAAGAATGCACAATGTCGATGATCTCCCCTGACATACCGAATATGTTGTTCAGAACATCCACCACTGCTAAAGCGAGAATGAAGATACGTGTCGTACCCGTACGAAGCCGAACCGTGTAGACAGCAAGAACGATCGTATTGCCAACTAGTCCCATAATGATTAATAGTGCCATGTAAATTATGGTGGAGGCGAGTTTCTTGGTGTTGTCCCTCTCGATCATATTTAGAATCATCCATGGTTCCAGCTCAGTCAGACTTGTATTAACAGTTTCATTCGTCGACATCTACAATGATACAAAACAGGGTGTGAGAGAGCATCTAATTTTTAAAAAAATGCATTTGGGTTATGACAATCATCAGATAAATCGATTTTGTATTTCGTTTCGTTTAGATTGGGGTCTAACCAATCGTCAACAGTACTTCGTTCGTGTGGTATTATTTATTTCTATAGTAACGTTTGCAATGTGAGTCGGGGGGGGGGGGGTTGAGGGGTGGGGGTGCAGTGACGTTTCATCTACTGGTTTTCAATTTGCCACTTTAAAAGTTTCTTTTAGGTGAACGCCCGGTTGTATGTGTATGCGATGTACTTCACTCTTCCGTCCGGTCTGAACGTCTAGGCACACTTTCCTTGTAAATCCCGCAGGCCCCACCCCTAACTAGTGAGACACGGACTAGACAAATGCTCAATGTTCTTCTTAGCACACGCAGGGATTAGAACTCGGGCCAATCTGGTCGAGAGGTCAGTGTTCTGTCGCCTAACCATTCTGGTCCCCTAATTTAAAACGACTGTGCTTGATTTACGCTAATTTTAGTAGGCCTCCCATGTCATTTGTTAACAAACATGTTGAATGGTATGAGGCAGTCTAATATTGTTAACTGTTGTTTTAAAATACTAGATAGTTAGCTAAAAGGGTAATCTATTAAAGACCATTTAAACAGAACCATTACTAATAAAAGGCAATACAGGAAAGTCATATCAAAAGAAACGGGGATATTAACATCGCTGACAAAAGATTAGACACGCATTCATAAGGGACACATGAAATTTGTAACATGAAAATATTTAACGAAACGATTTTTGGTCAGGTGTTAATAAACAAAATTCAGAAACACGCTACATATCGATAGAAATTGGCACAACATTTTTTTTTATTTTTTAAATTGAAAAAAGGGCACCCATCCCGTAGCAATTACCAATAAACAGATTAATTATATTGATATAATGGGCTGGGGTCTGCTCACTAGTTTGGCATTTAATAGATACGCTCGTAAATATCTTAGTCCAGCACTTAATGGTCCTACACGCATTGAATCGATGCGCATTGAGCCAATAAGCGTCGTACCAATGACGTGAGGTCAATGTGCCTTATAATATACATCGATCTATGTCAATATTTAAGCACCATGATTAATTGTAATATTAATATTTTAGAATTCAAGAATTTCGTATATAATATATTTCTATTGAAGTTGGCTCTAAACTATAAAAAAAAAATAAGTACTCCTTTATTCCTTATGTTAACTCACGGCGAAGCGAAGCTGCGACGGAGTGAGATTTCTTGCCTTAGTGGCTTCGCTTCGCTACGCGTCAATAACCGGAAGGCGAAGCCACGAGGACAAGGAGTGGCGAAGGGGTACTTATCGGCGTCTATGCTAAACTAAGTACTTAAAATATTTCAGAAAACATCAAGCAACGCATAAAAGTATCAGAGTAGCTTGAAGAGTGAGTGACCCAGCTTAGTCTGTGTACAAATCCCTTCACAACGAACGAGGCTAAGTGATTTAAAACAATAAATAATAATAATAACGTTGCAGCTGCATGAGGCTCAATATAGTTTAAACAAAACTTACAATGCTATATTTGTGTCTCTCCTCGTCCAGAAGGTGAACCCCAAAAACTGTTATTACTCACAGAGTAAATAATTATTTGTATATGAAGTAAGCAAAAATCTAACTTGAAATTCACTCGTGTTCGTAATTGATATTTTCCTGGTTGCATTTCTAGATACAAATTTAAAGTGGCGTCTGTTGTTTATTGGAACATTCTTGTCTAAAAACAAAACTCATACTCAAGAACGATGTCCAAAACAAAAAATGCATGCGTTTATACGGTTACCCGACATACCCTTTATAAAAAAAAAAAATCAAATCGCCGAACCTAAATTTTTCATTTCATAGACCCTATAAATCGGTGTTGGCGTGGTTTCTGAAGACACTAAAATTTGTTTATTTTCAACAGTCCGAATCTTCATTATTTTCCAGTACCTTTCTCATCAATTAAGTTTAAAATGCTGGGAAATAAATAATAACCACTTTACGGTATTCAAAATGACATCACAAAGGGTTTATGAATACAAAATATTACGGGATATAAAATCACATGACAAAGGGTTTATGAATACAATACTTAGTATCGATGCAAGTTATTAAAATATTAATTTAGTAGTTCAGTTAGTTCTATCTGATCTTACCCCCGCAAAAACACAAAGTAGCCATAAACGCGGGTATTTTTTTTTTTTTTTTTTTGTGCCTTAGCTGAACAACTAAAAAACCCATAACTTATATCTTCCATTGCGGGTACAAGAAAGTGCGTGCGAGAAACGAAATGTAGATATGATTGTAACAAGATTTGGTGGAATCTGTCCGTGATAAATGGCCCGAAAAAGTTCGCAGGCGTAATTACATAAGAAATACTAAAATGGTAGGTTTTAACTTTGTGTCTCTATTAAAATTATTCAAGAATGATCGTGTATTTAAATAATTTGAATTTTAAGTGGTGATATAGCCTCTTTAAGACGTGTACAGTTTATAGTATATATTGTTACTGTATGTAGCGTGATCTTCCTAGTTTAAATACTTCCTTGTTAAAAACCAAATCAGAGAGAGAGAGAAAGAAGAGAGAGAGAGAGAGAGAGTCGGGGGGGGGGAGAGAGAGTGTTTTACATCGGCTCAAGACAATCTGGATCATAATGTATCTAACAACTACCTTATGGTAAACCTGTATAAAATAATTGTACGTAGAAGACGTTTTCAGTGGTAGGAAGGGGGTGGCTACCCCTGAGGTTTGACAGGCGACCCTCGTCCTTATCAGCAAAAGCATGAAATCGAAATTACGAGGCTTGATTCAATGGCAGGTATTATCGAAAAATCCAAAGACTAAAAACGGTCATTTTGTAAAATCGGACAAATGCCCGAAACGTAAAATGTTTTCATTCGCTCAAGAAACCTGAACACAATGGGTCACATTCGGTTGCAAAATTACAAGTTTGCGTCAAAGATGGAGGCTGTGCGCATATACCGGAGTCGAAATAACCGCTTAAAGCAACGATAATATCCACAATTATCCAGTTAGAAACGATAAGAAACTTGAACGGCAGAGATTAACGAACATTTCGTTTTCGAATTTCCCATTTTTGATATGTTTTGACTCTTACCTCATATAGAGAGCGGCAGAACAATCCTCAAAATTCTTCCACTAAACATCCAATTTCAGAACCTCCAAGACTGCGACAAATTTTACTGAATCCCACCTTACTAATAAGAAGGTAAATCTCTGGTGAACAAATCTCTGCAAGAATAGATCTTCGTGATCAAGATTGGAAAAACATCCCTCAAAGATAATCCAAAGAGCAACAAGACTTGATGAAGGTGTTCTATTGTTTAAATTTATTAATTTTAGAGTCACAACTTAATGTCGATGTATCATCATCGTGAATTCAAAGGTCAATATTGAACATCGTTTGATTTTGATGAGGAAAATGTCACCCTTTACTCGCTTTAGACGGACGTTGGACTCTCTTTGTAGTGTTTAGAAGATGCCCGTTTTTTGTTTATTTGAGGTTCCTGCCACGCCTTGAGGTGTCTACAAAATATATTCAGGTGATGATGACTAGCATTTAACATAAATTTATGTTTTCATCCTTATGTTTACGTTTTAACCACAAGCCAAGACAAAAAAATAATTTGATGTCGGTGTAACCACAAGCCAAGACAAAAAAACATTTGATGTCGCTGTATACCGTGTTTCTAGAATCCCCTGACTCTGAAGATTTGCAAAGAGGCTAAACATGTTTGTGTACAAAAACAGCAAAGATTAGGAAATCTAAATGCTTTGGAAAAAAAAGTTCACCCACACAACAATTTTTCCGTCTGGTCTCCCCTTATTAGTGGTCCAGGACGGAAGACCTGACATGCAAAATCTCGTAGTCGTTAAGTCGAGCAAAAATCCGAGGTCAAATTAATAGTGTGCTCACTGACGTGCACGTAAAATATACGAGTAGGCTGCCCGGGCCAAATAGCTCACTGCATGGCGGCGTGATATACTCGTCTTCAATAGCCTAGTTGATACAGCAAAGTAGGACATTAAAGCCATCGCGAATGAAATGGGGTTAAGTGACCTACTTTTTGTGTGTTATGAGGGAAGTTTTGTCCGCTCTGCGGCGCTACTGCCTTCTCTTATTTCGAATTCGAATTTTCAAGGGTTCTTTTAAGTGCACGCCTCTGCCCTACACCACCGACAAGGCAGAACCACGCCAGAAAATCATCAACGAACTTTCGAATGTATATACTGGTGAATCTCGTATGGGGCCATGACAAACAAGATTCTAGATTAAATCTAATTTTTCTTTGAAGTGGTTTATTCAATGCAAATAGACGAACCATATTTTTGTGAGATAAAAAATATTACTTAAAACTATCCCCACCCATGTCCATCAACTTCTTACAAATCACAGATTTTAAGCAGTTTGTTTTAGGCATTTTTTCCTTAGCATAAACTAACATTATTTAATCGTTCTTTTCACTGTCGTCACACACTATGATAGCATTATATAAATAATGAATCAAACCTACCGACCTTCCATACAATTTCAAGTGGTTTTGTCAATATTAACTCTGCAAAAAGCTTCCTCTCTTCTCTATACCGCTACGAGTACATTGAACAAACACCAAAGACATTTTGTTATCACTTTAAATCTAGTTGTATGGTATGTATAACCGACAAAACGGAATAAATGTATGTAATAATATTCAATATTTTGGTGGCAATCCGTACACCTAAAATTAAAGCGGCGTGAAGCTACTCAAAATTAAATTGACTTCAATTGACTTTGTTTCGGATTGTTTTAATAATTCTATACTATTCGCGTAGGGGGCGGATAGCCGAGTGGTTAGCATGTGTGCGCTGTATCATAAGGTCTGTCATTGAGTCAAATGGCATGGTTTCGATTCCTCGGTTGTACGTGGCAAGGTGTAGGGTCGCCTGTCCAACCTCGTGGGTTTTCTCCGGGTCCTCTGGGTTCCTCCCACTGCTAAAGACCCCTAGGCGCAAGCGAATTATTGAAATAAAATTGAACCATGTGTTAGTCCCGAAATGACCTAGTTTGTGTCGAATGGACGTTAAACCCCATTTCTCTCTATATTCGCCAATTTCGTTATGGCAACCGGTGAATTATTTGTAAGTCTAGGGAATATATTTACTGTAAAGATGTATAAGGGCTAACAGTTCTCGCTATAAAAATTAAACAGTAGATAATGAAAAGAAAATAATGTATTGAAAATTTCAGTCAAATTAATTCATTTTGAGCGAAGTTATGGTCGTTTGAAGAATATTGTAATCGATTGTTATTGTTACCTTTGTTACGATTATAAACATCCACTGAAAATCATACCCATCCGATGATCTAGAAAGTTGATTATGGGCTAAATGTCTAATTAATGATTTATGTAACATTTGAGGCCAAACAAAAGATCTGAAATATGCAGATTTAGCTCTCACATAATGCGTCATCCTTGAGTTGCTAAAGAATTAAGGGCAAGACGGTATGGATGGCCGAATGGTTTAACGCGTGCGCATTTGATCATAAGGTCTGCCAAAGAGTCAAGTGGCGTGGTTTCGATTTCGCGCATGTACGTGACTGGGAGTAGGGTCTCCTGTCCAAGCTTGTGGGTTTTCTCCGGGTCCTCTGGATTCTTCCCCACGCTAAAGACACCTATACGCATGCGTATTAATGAATAAAATTAAAATTGAACATCATTTTTGTTCCGAAATGACCTAGGTCGTGTCGAGTGGACGTACCCCCCCCTCTCTCCCCCCCCCCTCTCTCTCTCTCTCTCTCTCAATCTCGCAATTTAAACCTAGTGCCCCTCTATAGATTTCAGAACATTAAACGGTTATAACAGTTGTTTCGGCGATATTTAAAATGAGGTTTCATACATTCTGAGCAATAAACCCAGACCTACGAATCACAAATCCATAAAGCTGACTTCCAACTAGAATGTCCTGGAATCGAATCTGACCTGGACCAAGAAATATTATCGTCTCTTTTCAAGTCCTGTTTCCATTTGCTAGTCGTTCGGATTTGATTCAAAATCGAGGTGGCGAACAAATTGGCAGCTCTCCTCCTCAAAATGCACCCATAAGCACATGTTAGTTTCACAATGAGTTGACTGAAAGCTGAGCTATATTTTAGGTGAGATGTTTGTAGGGCTGTATGTTTTTATTTAATCATTTCCAGTACTCTCATAACGATATTTTGAAATGCCGAAACCTTCCAATTTGTAGTGCATTTATGACGTCAAAAAACGTTACATACAATCTGTTTTAGCAGGCCCAGAGATACCACCTGGTTATAAAAATAAACTCGCTCTTATAAAATACACCCATTCAGTAATTAATATCACTCATAATATGACGTAATATAACACAATGATTGATTTGATATATTGTATTTTATCTTTGATGATGTCCTCTTCAAAATAGGAAATATCGTCATTCCTCATCGACGATTTATATTTATCATGAATAACACGATCTCGTATAGTTCGATCTGTGACACGACCAAACCATTTTTTTTTTATTTCTTTTTTACAAACCACTTTTTATTTTCTTATCAGATGGGCGGACATGATATGTGATACTAGATAAAAAGAAACACCTAAACAATAACATAACAATTCATACTATAGTAATCTATCAGCGTTTAATAAATCATACAGGTCAGTAACATATAATTGTGAACGGAAATCAACTCCGCAAAGTAATTGTCATCCTCGTAATCCAGTCGATCGAGCGATTTTAAGCGATGTGATGGAGCGATAGCAACACAAGCAGGGACGGATTAGACCCCCCTCCCCTCCCCACTACCAAAACCTCCAGAGACTGATTTGCTGATACACTTATAAAGATAACGTTAATTAAAGACTGAAAACAGTCCCCAAACCACGTGAGACAGGCCTCCAAACCACAGAAACATGTATCAATGATATCTAGGAAAGTAAAAGTTTCACGTTAACTGAATTTTTCTGAGAGTTTAAATAGGTTGTTTGATTTTGATTAGCATTTGGTTATCCAGGACGTCATACAAGGTCATGTCATCCCTTTTTTTCGGCATCCGAATAGTATCTCTTCATCTTTTCAAGTCGTGATTTCAACCAAACGTTTATACACCATTACACGGAATATGTTCGCCTGCACAACTTCGTGTTGCTCAGGGTCGTTCGGTTTCCTCCCAGTACTAACGACTCCCGTGTACAGGCAACTTATTGAACTAAATAATACAAGATGCTAGACCTAGTTTGTGTTGGGTGGGCGTTAAACCCCATTTATCTCTCACTTTCATGCGAATGTTGACATGTTACATGTAGTAATGGTGTGGGTGGTTAAACGTACATGTGACTTATCATTATTCCTTTATCTTTTGTTTTATCTTCGCTTTTTAATACACCCACATGTTAAAGATGCATTATGTAACAGCTAAATATGGTCTTCAGTTTGGCTTCTTACGTTATCATATAAACTGTTATTTAGACATTTATTAACATAACAAGCCTAAAATCTACTCTCTAGGTTATCGAATGGTGGAGATTTAAATGGATTAGAATGCCCGCGAGATTTAAAGATTTAACCTATAGTGGATAATAGAAACTTAGTCTCATTTGTCCAGTACCGTTGCTAATATGCAATCTATACTATATCTTCCAGTTCTCATAACTTCTTTCAGAAGTCATTAATTTGAATGAAATTTTCAATTTATTCACTATTTATTATCTATTTTTGAACGGTTATGGCAAGATCTAGAATTACCAGCACTTAATCTTACATAAAGGATCTTTAACATGGTAGTATATTGGCGGCAAAGGTTTAGAAAGGCAAATGTTTTTCTCTTTCGATATAAATTTTATTGAGGGGGGGGAGGGATAAACAATTTGCGACTCGCTTCACTCGGCGTTAACCAAATGTGACCATTGTAAAGTGATCAGACTGGAAAACGAAGATGATTACTAGTTACCTAAACACGTTAAACGAAATTCACGCTCTGTTAAACAACGTCACAGGTGACTTATCCAATTTCCGACATAATAAATTGCCCAGACAGCTTCCCGCGGGACTTGTATAATATCGGGGACTAATAATATTTTTTCTTCGATTAAACGTTAACCCATCGCCGACCAATGGTAGGACAGTTGACGTATGAAGACACAGTTTAAAACCTCGTGTCTGTAGATAAGGAAGGTACAAATAACATAAATGATAAGTAGTCGTGTTACTATTAACAATATTTGTCCCAGGTATACAAATGACAAGTATGGTATATTAGATAATAATGCACAGTAAAAGTGAAGTGTAATATTGGATTTAT